TGTTAAATTTATCCAATCACTAATTAGTGTTAAAACCACAGCATCATAATATAATTTCAAATTCGGTACCTTGAGTCCACCTCTCTCACAGAAGTCTTGCATAATTTTAAACTTTACCCTTGGTTTTTTCCCTGCCCAAATAAATTTATTAATACCTTTCTGCCATTCATTTAAATTAAGCTCATTCTTTAAAATAGGTAACATTTGAAACAAGAAGAGAAATTTTGGTAAAACATTCATTTTAATCACTGCAATTCTTCCCATAAGAGATAACTGTAACTTCTCCCAATTCTTCAAGTCTTTCTGTACCCTGACCCACAGCCTTTCATAATTATTTTTATACAATTTTGCATTGGAAACAGATAAGGTGACCCCCAAATATTTTATCTTGTCTACAACCTCAAAATCAGTCAGGTTAACCAAAATCTGCTTATCCAAATTAGTCATATTTTTAGATAATATTTTAGTCTTATTATTATTAATTTTAAAACCCAAAACCCGTCCATATTGGTAAATCAATTGTAGTAGCTTTACTACAGAATTGATAGGTTGAGACAAAGTAACCACCAAATCATCTGCGAAAGCTCTTAACTTATATTCTTTTTTGTTGACTTCTATTCCTTTTATTTCCTGCGACTCTCGAATTTTAATCAACAAAATTTCCAATGTTAAAACAAACAGTAACGTTGACAATGGACATCCCTGTCTTGTACCTTTTTCTATTGTAAAAACCTCTGACAAACCCCCATTAACAATAAGTTGTGCCGTTTGTTTTTGATATATAGAAGCGAAAGCTTGTAATATTTTTTCTCCAAAGTTCATTTCCTCGATTACTCTTAACATAAACTGCCAATTCAGTTGATCAAAAGCTTTTTCAGCGTCTAAAAATATCAGCCCTGCAGGAATTTGGTTGTTCTTATCTAAATATTCTAATAAGTTAATAATTTGTCTAGCATTATTTTTCATATACCTACCAGTTATAAAACCCGATTGATCCTTATGTATAAGCTGGTGCAAAACCCTTATAAGCCTATTAGCTAAAATTTTTGCAAAAATCTTATAATCTACATTTAAGAGAGATATAGGCCTATAATTCTTAGATAAAGTAAGATCTTGGTCCTCTTTAGGAATCAAAGATATAAAAGCACTGCGCCATGACGGAGAGATCTCTGAACCCTGTAATATATTATTAAAAAGCTCACATAGAGGTTGAGACATCTCTTCTACTAAAGTTTTATAATAAATGGATGTCAAACCATCCGTACCCGGCGCTTTACCTAATTTTAATTGCTTAATAACTGTCACAATTTCCTCATTGGTAATTAAATCATTAATTTCTTGTTTCTGATCTTCTGTTAGTTTAGGAAAGTTAGCCTCACTTAGATAATTATTTATATCTAAAATTTGTACATTGGTACTCTTATATAATTTTTGATAATAATCTAGAAAAGATTTCTTAATCAAATCCTTCTGATACATTAATTTACCATTATAATTTATTTTATCTATAGTTCTCTGCCTCTGTTTCTTTCTTAATTGATAGGCCAACCATCTCCCTGGTTTATTAGCATTACAAAATATATTTTGTTTCATAAACAGTAAGTTAGTTGCAGTTTGATCAGCCATCAACATGTTAAATTGTGTTTTTAACAACTTTATAGATTCTTTAACCTTTTCATCTGTAGGATTTAGAATCAAAGACTTTTCTTTTAATTTAATCTCATCTTCCAATTCCTTACGTTTCTGGATCTGCTTTTGTCTATTGACATTATTCATTTTTATCAAAATCCCACGCATGAAAGCTTTACCTGCATCCCATACCATTGATATTGATGTTCCCTTATACATATTTAAAGCAAAATAATCCTTTAAACATTCCTTTAATTTTTGAACATTCCTTTCTTGTCTAAATAAATTCTCATTCACCCTTCAGGATCTCCTCTCCTCTTTTTCATCAGCCAGTTCCATCCAAACTGGACTATGATCCGTCAATGACCTAGGAAAGATTTTTACATTCTTTACCCTATTATATAAATCAGTTGTAATAAAAAAAGTCAATTCTTGAAAAAAATTGATATCTGTCTGAAAAGAAGGTAAAGTCTCTCTCCTCTTGGTTGCGTTCACGCCAATAGTCCCTCAACTCCCAGTCCTCTTTCAGATCAAAAAAAGCTTTAGGTTATTTAGCCTGTTTAAAAAAAGTGGAAGAACCTTTTTTGTCCCTTTGTGTGTCTAAAACACCATTCCAATCTCCCATTAATATCACAGACCTATAATCCAGCGAAGTTATTTTCTGGTGTAACAATCTGTAAAATTGTTCCTGTTGTTGGTTTGGTGCGTACAATCCCACTATAAGTATTTTCTTACCATATAAACCAAGTTCAATCATAACATATCTTCCTTGAGGGTCTGATTCTACCAGACAAACTGGTAGACTTTGCTTAACATAAATAACCACACCCCCTTTTTTCCCGGGGGCAGGAGATACAAAGTGAGATCCCAACCGAGCATTGACTAAATATTTTTGATCTTTAAGTTGAATATGAGTTTCCTGCAAGCAAATAATATCATTTTTCTTTCTTTTCTGAGGGGAGTTAAGGCCGTTAACATTCCAGGTCAGGAACTTTGCCATCTCCCTTGACCAGGAGCCTGGAGAAGACTGCCTGAAGCTCTGCCATTGAAGAATGTGTTGCAGAACTCTTGGGTCTTGCTCCTCCCACTGGCAATGAGACACTTTCATGAGAAGATTCTTTAACTTCTTTCTTCTGTTGTTCCTTTTCCTTGCGTCTATGTGCTGCACGAGTCATTCTTTGCTCTTTGACCTCTGTTGGGCGCAGCCATTCAACCTGTGATTTTCCAGCAACAATCAAATCTAATCCTTCAGACTGCTGTTCCATCTCTTTGCTGCCCAGAGCTTTCTGAGTCATAGATGAAGATGAGCCTGCTCCCAAGACCGTGTTGTAGAACTCTTTAGCTTTAACAACTGTATTAAGTCTGTAACGTGTCCCCGCATGGCTCAAAACAATACCCATTGGGATCTCCCATCTGAATGGCATCAATCTTGTTTTAAGTTCATTAGCTAAAAAGGCAAAGTCTTTTCTATTTCTTAAAATTTTAGATGGAATTTCCTTTAAAATAATAATATCTTGGGCAGCAATCTGAAATCTCTTATTGTAAAAAGCTTGTATGATTTCATTACGCAGAGATCTCTTTGCAAAGTAGATCACCACATCTCTTGGCAAATTCTTTTGTTTTGCAATCCAAGAGTTAACTCTGTAAATTTTTTCCACTTCTCTACGTAATCCATTTTTATCCCTATTCAGAACAACAGCTAGGTCGTTGATCACCATTTCTATCAGATCTTGATTCATATCTTCTTTGAGACCCCTAATTCTCAAAGCATATTCCATTTCCCTATACTGAGACATAAGAATATCCTCTTGTGAATTTTCCACCTTTTTTTCCATATCCTGGAATTTATCTTCAAGGAGGTCTACTTTATCTGCAACCTCTTCCAATCTAGAATCCAACTTCACGACCACTGAAGCCAATCCTGATAAAGCTGCAACTATATCTTGTCTCAAAATAGTATTGTTCTCCTCTAGAAGCTCCTTCATTTTCTCTTTAAGAAGATCTTTCATTTCCTCTTTACTTTCAGATTTATCCTGTTTAGGAAGGTCCTTCATTTCCTCTTTACTTTCAGACTTGCTCTGTTCAAGAAGTTACTTCATTTCCTCTCTGATTTGGGATACAGCATTTCCCATTATATCTTTAATGTCTTGTGCAGATAAGCCTGGCAAAGGAGGAGAAGGTGGAGGTGTAACTTTAGGTTGCAGTACTGGTAGTGTAGCTTTAAGTTGTTGTTGTACTGTTGCAATTGCAGGAGAGGAAACCATCTTAGAAACTATAGAAGCTGGTTGTCTCTTTGAAGCCATTTTTGAAAATCTTATTCTCTCTTTCTTTCTTCTTAAAAAAAAAAGAAAAATACTAAAATCCTTAAGATTAAAAAAAAGACCAGGGAGAGTGCAAAAAAAAAAAAAAAAAAACCACTTCAAAACCTCCAAAACGCTTTAAAAGAAAAGAGAAGCTTAAAAGAAAAAAAAAAAGCTATACAATCCATACGTTACATTTAAGTCCGTTCTTTCTTTCCGGAAAAAAAAAAGCACTTTCAAAGCGCCATCTTACTTTCACTCTCCACCCCCCCAAAAAAAAACAGAAGAAAAAGAAATCAACATAAACTAAAGAAGAAATAAAACACTACTCCAAATAAAATCCTTTAGACAGCTCTGTCCGCTTTAAAAGGCACTCACCAGAAACTTTAAGTGCGGAGATGGTAGCGGCGTTTCACTTTGTTTCCGAAGAAACAAAAACAGCTGGGAGGCGGAGAAACACGAACTCCGAGGGAGCACTCTTTCTACCCCCCCAAAAAAAGAAATCCAGGGGGGGTTAAGAGGTTCTACCTCTATTCGTGTAGTCTCTGCCCCTTCCCTTCGCCCGGGAAGGAGATTTCGAACCGCGGGCCAACTGATGTCCGCTGTGCTCCGCAGATCTAACGCCATCCCAGGAGGACGGCTACAAAGTAGCCGCCATCATCGTCGCTAGCCACCGGAAGCTCCCCCCTACTCATCTTAAATGCTATGCTTCTGGTCTCCTCTGTCTGCCAGAATTTAGATCCTAAAATATAACAAAAATCCTGATTAGTCTCAACATTTGTAAAACGCTTAAACTTCTATTGTTATCAACAGTGATTTTGTAGAGAAAGAAAAGGAGGAAAGAATTGCTTAGTGACAGAATGCTCTACAATCTACTCTAGAAAAAATCCCCATTTTGATCACTTGATTTAATGTACAGAGATAATCATATCTGATATTTCAGCCATATTGCCCATGTGTGGAATCAATTTAATAATGTAAAATTATCTAGGGTGCATTCTACTACAGAGGAAGAGATATAAGAAATAGTTCTTTAAAATATAACTTGCAAGCTCACATTTTATTTTGTAGGCCTCAGACAATGAATGACGGCAGCCCATTTTATCCAGCATGTGGACGTCAGTAATCACAAATAATTTTCTTTAATAACCCTACATGAAACTTCACTGTGTTTGTTCAATCCACGAACTATGCAACTGTTGACTATGGATCTTGAAGATAAGAGTCTACTTTCTAAAAGCTGCATTTTAGTACTTATTATTATTGGTGAAATGGTAATGCAATTTTCAATAAATATATAGGCCATTTTTAACTATTATAATATGTGATATACATTTTTCAAAATGTACCTGAAGTCAATAATGTAACAATGTATAAATTTTAGCCAAAACATTTGATTAATGAGAATTACCAATCATTAACCTTTCTTAAATCAGTGACAATGGAACATTGAAATTGATATTTTAGAATGAAGAAGTGTTGAGTTCATTAAATGAATAAAATTCATCTGCAAAAATGATTTTCATTTTTTATTTCCTAAAAATATGTACATTCTCCCAGATATTAGGTAAGATAAATAGATGTTCTGATCCTGATTGAGTTCAATGGTTTCACCATGGCTTATGCCTAAAAAGCTCTTTCACAACACTTTTATTCACAGGGAACATTCACTGTCATGTGTGATGATCTAAATTTATATAACGATAAAGGTTTCCCTGTCAATCATGTCTGACTCATAGGTACATCCATATATACACACAAACATACATGCACACAAACACACAAATATAAGTACAAACACATATATTTACATATCTACATACACACACACACACAGAGAGAGAGAGAGAGAGAGAGAGAGAGAGAGAGAGAGAGAGAGAGAGAGAGAGAGAGAGAGATCATTTAAACAGCCTTTTTTGCCAGTTCCTGCCAATAAATTTTGCAATGTTTACCAAAGCTAGGCCCTGAAGTCCTCCTGACACGGAATACTGGAAGTTATTCTTGTAAGACTGGACTAGGCCTTACTTTATCCATCCTGCAATCAATCATCCTGCTTTTCATTTTTCTAAACTTCTTATATTCAGGCATTATATTAAGAGTCCTGCCACAGACAACAGAGAAACATATGCAGTCTTCTAACTTCTCATGCTATTATCAAAATTGTGATGAAGATATATTGTTGGCTAGCCAGAGAGCATTAGAAGAAGAGATTGATTTTCTTCTGAAAGTTGTTAAAGACCTTCCTTCTCATGATGCTTCTTCAGCTCTTTTACATGATACACAAATGGACAATAACTGTGGTTCTGTGCAGATTCTTTGGGCATGCAAAGTGTAAAGAGTAAGAGGTTCCCTGAAACGAGTTTCCAGTTGCTGATCATGGGCAAAGTATAGAAGGGTTTCTGCAGAAAGGGAAAGAATCTGTGATATCCAGTGCATGTCACTATGCAAACTTTTATGCAAACAATTTATTTCATCTATAGTATCCTCCTGACCTATGTGACATAAGTTGTGGTTTATGTCAATTGAGTTTTGGTACTGCATTACCCAATTTTGTGGCTTGATGATGTGTGGATGAAGCTAGAGGAAAAGGAATGCAGAAAAATTTGTATTAAAGGTGATTCTAGCCCTATGAACTAAGCCAGACTGAGAAACCAACGCCATGTTGGTCAGTAGTACATTTATTGTACTAGCTTCAGTTATCAAAACTTGCAGGTCCTGAGGGAGATAAAAAGTGTTTCCACAACAATACAAGATGTTGATATCTTTTTGATTCAATTCAAAACGTACAAGACAGATAATATATGTATTGTTTTCTTCAGAGAAGTTAGATGGTACTGGCAGTAAAGAATACTTCTTATACAAACCTGTAAAAATGATGAGACTTTTGAATTAAAGAAAATTGTATTATACACTGGTAACTGGTGACATCATATTTTCTCTAAAAGACAAAAAAAATGGGAAAAAGGAAAATAAAATGTAATGTCACATTTTCCCTTGTGCATGGGAATTTTCCTGGTTAGTAAGAGGAGAAGGGTATATTTTGCATCCTTCTGATAAGAGGTAATGTTATTTTCTCTGCTTTAAGCCCTTGGGGTTGATATTATTTTGTCCATCTGGATATTCATAGAAGTGCAACCCAATCCTAGGTCTGCAGTATCTGGAAGAGAGAAAAAAATCCCAGTGTACAAACAGTCTCCCTGGTAAGTTTGGCTAATGATTAACTACATTTGGCTAAAGATCATTAAACTTCAAAGCTATTTAAAGAATTTTTTAGATAGCTGCAATCTTGTGGTTCCTATAAATATTTACATAATAAATGCAAAATAGGTATGTCAGATATCAAATGTAATTTAATTAGTTATCAAATTTCTACACTGTCCACTTCCTTTGAGTCATTCTGCATGCTTTACAATAAAAAGACAGTGTTAAGAACTGGAAAAATGAGAAAGCAGTTTGTGTAATAATTTTGCTGCTAACTTCTGCTACTTATCTACCTTGGAATGCAAGTGATAATTTTTCCTTCTGAAGAGTTTGAAGCACTGCCTGAAAAGCTGAACTATTGCTTGGTTTGTTTGTTGCTATACTATTCCAGTAATATTTGCTCCTCCCAGATTTCTTGACAACAAATAAACATAAAAAAAGGAAAAGATGGTAATAGTTGGAAGAAATCAGCTGAGATAGCCAAAATGCTGAACTGAGGTTTGGGGGTTCAGACATTGCCTGAAGAGCTATGAAGGGCTGGCTGATCCTGGTTGCTGCTTTTCTTCTCTGGCCAGGCTACTCTTCTCAAAATGGTAAGTTAACAAGAAGACAAATCAAAGGGTTCCTAAAGGAAACAGTTTCTGCTACATTTATTAAAGGAACAGTTAGTTCTAGTGAAACTAAAGAGTTTCGTTTTCCATCTGTGGCTTTCTGGAAATTTGTAATGGCAGATAGTTTAAGAATATCACAGACTTATAATTACAATTTCCCTCTCAATCACAAGATTTTTCAGCAACTGATTTTGAATAACAAAATTGCTTTGTATCTGTATTGTAAATTCACACCTTTTTGAGGGATTTTGTTTCAGTTAATAAAGACCTTGATACAATAATAACCAAGTGATTACCATGTCTTATAATGCTATATTAAGACCGATGTAAAAGTTTACCTCAGAACAGGATACAGAATAGAGTACTGAATACAGAATAATTGAGTTGGAAGAGACCTTGGAGGTTTTCTAGTCCAATCCTCTGCTCAAGCAGCAGACTCTATACCATTTCAGACAAGTAGCTGTCTAGCCTCTTCTTAAAAGTCTCCGGTGATGACGTCTGAAAGTAAGCCATTCCACTGGTTAATTGTTCTCACAGTTAAGAAGTTTCTCCTTAGTTGCTTCTCTCCTTGATTAGTTTCTATCCTTTGTTTTCTGTCTTGCTTTCTTTGGAAAATAGGTTGATTCCTTCTTCTTAGTGGCAGCCCTTCAAATATTGGAATACTGCTATCATCTCCTTATTTTCTTTAGACTAGCCATACCCAATTCCTGCAACTGTTCTTCATATATTTTAGTCTCCACAGAGTTATCCCTTTCATTGAAGTATTTGTGTTTAAAGTTTTATTTTACTTATAAACAAAAAAGATAGCCAAAAGTTGAAATGAAGAGATGTAAAAATGGAACATAATTACTGAATATATTTCTACATCATATTTCCACTCAGATGTGAATGTTCTAAAAATGAGATATTATAGACAAACAGGACTTTTCCTGGCAATAAATCCTAATGTAGTTTTCAGAATCAGTTTTTTTTTCTGTGCATATGTAGAAAAAAATGCTATCAGTGCTACAGCTTTTTATGCTTTCCTGAAATCCACAAGAGAGTGTTACTAGAATAGGTTATTTTTCTCTATACTTCCCTATAGAGGAAGTAATTTTATGATTCCTCAATGCTTCGGTCTCCCATTACAACACATAATGTCTGCAGCTTCTGTAACCTTTTATGCAAAAGAGATGTTTTAACTTTTTATGCATATGTCAAAGGTTTGAAATTTTAAAGATGTATCTCAGTTATGTTTACATCAGGATAAATACAAAAGTAATGAGTAGATATCTAAATTCATGGTGAGAATATCCTTTAGGAGAAGACATGGAGGATAATATTCACAAGAAACAGGAGCTAAGAATACATTTGCTTACATTCATACTAATAGAGCCTTTGACCCACTCATTTATTTATCACTGTTTTTATGATTGCCTGGAAGTTGCTAGTGCTGAGCTTCTTGTTTGCCCACTTTAATCAATTGGGTTATGTTTAGTAAAGTAGCTTGCATCCTCAGCATTGTTCATGTTAGGCATCAGCAAGGGAAGGTTACATATTGCAGGTAGTCTTGGAGTTATAATCCACTTGGAGTTATAATCCACTTGGACTCTGCTCAAGTCATAACTTGGCCATAACTTATTATGGTCCTAAAATGGATCGGTCACATGACCTATTAGATTTTCACAGCCCTTTGCATGGTGGCCATTAAATAAATACCATGATTCCAGCAATCAGCCTTCCAACGACCACCGTAAAATAAGCAAATCCATGGATGTTAAATAGTTCATTGTTGATGCACTTTTGCTGTAAATTAGAAATCAATGCTGGTTTTCAGCAAAACTGTCAGAAAACAAGGTCATGGAATGCAACAATGGCCATAAATGCAGCTCATCTGCACAGCACCAAAGTGCACTCATGACCATGTAGAAGGGTGACTGAATCTGGGTCATAAGCTCCTCTCCAGGTAAGTTCCTGGGAGTTCAGATGATCACTAAATCCACGACTACCTCTAGTGAGGATTAAGTGCCCAGCAGGTATTAGTTTCCAGTTAAGATAAAAGTGGGAAATAATTGTGTAACTTGGTTTAGAGCAGGAAGCTTGTTATCTCACAGTTCATGACACATTCATGAAATTAAATAGGAAAAGTAAACTTGTCTAAGCAGGTAAGATAATTTTATGTAAATGTAATTTCAGTATGTGAAGAACCAGATGAAATTGATTTTGGGGAAATTGTGAGTACTGAGAAAGCCAAATACCTGGAAAATGACCGAGTGCAATACAGGTGCAACCCTGGTTATGTCTTGGAAGGACCTGAATGGATTCAATGTAAGGGTCAAGAATGGACACCTCGTCTACCAAAATGCTTGGGTAAGTCATCATGCTTTCTTTAACTGGAAGAAAATATAAAATTGCAGCTGCCACTTTTTTTTTGAGAATCAACTTGAATTTGAATCCAATATTCCCTCTACAGTATCAGCTTCTTTCATTTGAAATCTGAAAAAATTAAACTGATTCAAATTAAACTGATATGCAAGCATATCACTGAACATAATTAAAGATGTTCAATTGGAAGCTTATATTTACTTAAGTGGAATGCTGATTAACTGTGGGATCCGGTTACATCTGGATTCAAATTCAATGGTCAGTAAAGTAGAAAAGTGACTTCTGTTGCTATGGAGTCAACAGTTCTGGTCAGGATTCAGATTTCTTTTATCTGATTTGTTGTCTTATTAGTGGCTGTTCCTCCAGTCCCCCAAGTTTAATTTTTCTGCTCATTACAGATATTTGAATGGGATTAATTCAACAAAGGACTTTATAATATTTATTGGATAGCTCAGAAAATGTTTTAAAGCTATTAGCAATAGCAATAACACTTAGCCTTATATACTGCTTCAGAATGCTTTACAGCCCTCTCTAAGCAGTTTACAGAGTCCGCATATTGCCCCCAACAATCTGGGTTCTCATTTTACCAGCCTCAGAAGGATGGAAGACTGAGTCAACCTTGAGCCAGTGAGGATCGAATTCCTGGCAGTGAATACTGCATTCTAACTACTGTGTTACTATGGAATAGAGGGAAACCAATGGAAAAATTATTTCCCTTGAGAAAATCTACCTTATTTTCTGTTTTTAGCACCTTGCCGTATCACAAGACAACAACTATCAACAAAAAACATGTTTGTATTTGGAGGCCAAAGAAAAACTCGATTTATTCAAAGTAATGATAGCCTGCAATTTCAGTGCAGTGAAGGATATGTCCTTGTGGCTCCATCAGTCAGAAAGTGTGTTGATGGTTACATGGAGTTGCCATTATGTATCTCTGGTAAGCATGCTGCAAATATGATGGATTCCTTTGAGATTAGAACTAATTAGAAAAATTAATATAACATAATAAATATAAACATTTGCTTTTGAATCACATTCTTTCAAAAATGACTTAATCCTCACTGAAATCACATTTTGGCTAAGAAGTTTAGTAGCTGTAATTTAAAACACAAAATCTTAAGCCTATCTGTTTGGAGAACAACATTCTGGTATTTTCCCAACGATATGAATTGTCTCTAAGGTTCAATCCAAAATCTTGAGTTTCAGCTAAGAATTATCCTTTCATGTGGTTGAAGATATGCATAATATTGGTAGGCATAGGAATTTATTTCAAAAATGGCTTGTATAAAAATATGTTGATATCATATCATTAGGGGAGACCCATATTTTGCACATTGAAAAATCTCTTTTGCTGGAAATTGGCTGGATGACTTTTATATGCTGGTAGTCCTTGACGTATGACCACAACTGAGCCCAACATTTCTCTGGTTAAGTAAGACAGTTTTAAAGTGAATTTATGTCCTTTCTTGCCATAGTTGCTAAGTGAGTCACTGCAGTTGTTAAGTTAGTATCACATTTATTAAGTGAATTAGACACGCAAGTACAGAAGATACTTGGAAAATTTGAAATTATTAGACCTGAATATTCTGATATTGCAAAAAATCCATCTAACTTGGAAGTGCCTATTTACTCAAACATTACCTTAACAGCTTTTAGGTCCTTGGTTAGGACTTGAACTTTTAAGTTTTTACCAGTCCCAGACTGTGAATCGATTAAATCTTAAATCATCATCATCATCATCATTAAACATACAGATATGCCTATCCAGATCCTTGGTAAGGATTTGATAGGTAGACAAAAATGCCAGATTCAGTATGAACATCTGGCTGACTATGCAATATAATAATAATAATAATAATAATAATAATAATAATAATGATAATAATAATATAGTGAGGCATTACCTTGACATGGTTGTGCAGCTTGTATGCTCTGAGAAAGCTCTGAGGTTCAATCCTACTGGACAGGTCTCATCAGAGGAGACAAAGAGTGTCTTTCCCATAAAAAATATGGTGAGACATAAATTTCAGCAAGGCATGCTGGCTTGGATGTTGCCTAGGTTAACAAGGTCCATGCTAGATGTTGGAGTTCCTGGGTATCTGGTGAAAAATGGGCTACAGGATTCAAGTTTGTTGACTGAGCAATGAGGGCCAGCAGCTGCAGAACTACTGGAAGAAAAGGTGTTTACCCGTCGCAAATACACAGTGATTGAAAACAAAGAAATAAGGATCTGTTATTACAGATCAAGTCCAACAAGAAGAGGATATTTGAAACAAATGCACCAGTTTTGGAAAGAACAACATCCAGAATGAGAAATAACAGAACAGAGGCTAGCAGATAAACATTTATTTATAATACAAAATAAAGTATTCACAGAAGCAGAATTGGAAGAACGGCAAAGGTTCACCCAGGGCAAAGAAATCAAAGCCTTGTCAGAAGTAATAAATCTGACACCAATGTTTGTTATGATGATGATTTAAATATAAACTTCCCAGTGCAATTGAAAGAAGAGTTCCAAGCAAATCTACAACTTTGAAGAGGACAAGTTTTAGACTTTTTCTTCATGAATATTAATGAGATTGAAGAAACCCTAGAGAAAAAGAGAAGTTTATAATTACCTGATAGGTATCTCAGAGAAACAAAAAGATTTTATTCTGTGAGGATAAACTGGAAGGATTGACATAAATTTAATGGGTTAATTGGAATTAGGATGGATTTTTATCAGTCTGTTATATGTAACTGAAAGAAAGTTTTAATGTAGCTGTATGTTTGTAAAGTGGCTTTGAAAATGTATTGTATTTCTTTATGTACGATTGAGTAATCCCTTAAGCTTGTAAAATATTATTGAAAGTGTATTTGAAAGTATCTATGTTAAGAGGAAGTTAAAAAAGAAGTATTAGAATGTACTGATTTTACAAATATTTAAGAAATATTAGAATGTACTGATTTTACAAATATTTAAGAAAAGTTAAGAGTTTTAAAATGGATGTAAAAGAAAAGTTTTTCCCTTTAAGATTAAAGAATCTGAAAGAGTATAGTGATTAAAATTGCTAATGTTAATAATGATCATTTATAAAGATTAATAACTGCTAGTAGAAATTTATATTATTTTCCACAGCAAGAAAAAAAGTAAAAGATAGTTAAATTGATTGCTTTATTTAAAGAAAATAACATTCTATTATTTTTATTTGGGAATCCCTTCTGGATTTGTGCTTGAAGAGAAAAAATGAAAATTTGACTTTAGTTTTGCTGATCAGATAGTTTTGTTATAGAAATTGTGGTATATATTATAATATAAAAGAAAAAAGTTGAGATTGTAACATTATTATAAAAAAGAGCTGGAAGTCAATGCATTTTTTTTCATTTTCCCTTTCATCTCACACTTTCTCTTTTTCCCATTTCCCCTGCCCTAGTTTCCCATTATTTTCAATTTTTTTGTATTTTATATTTGATAAACAAATAAAAAAAATTAATACAGAAAGACTGAGGGTATATGAATTGATATATTTTAGTCATGTGCAGTTTTGGCTTCTTTTTGGAAGAACATTATAACAAATAGAAATATGCATAAATGTTTTAATCTTAAAGTTGTAAACGTATTTTGCTATTTTGAATTATCTTCTAATTCAAGAAATCTAACCATTTTTGAGGAACTGCAGCACTTTATTATATAGATGAACCAGCCAAGTAAATTCAGAAAACTACTACTATTTAAATATCAAAAACTGAATTCAAGAAATGTATAATTATTAATTTTAGAAAAGACTATTTTGCTAAGAAAAAAATGATACTGTATAATTTTTGTTTTAGATTCATAATAAGGACAGATTATGTTTTTGGGTAATTTAAAACATTATTAATATATGTGCAATTTATTTAGGTGATTTATATCAGTTTAGAGGAAGCATCGTTAATCTGTTCATTTTAAAGATGCTTTTATATTAGCTATTACTTAGATCATGGGTGCTGGCCCGTGGGCCGGATGCGTCATGCTGAAACTGCGCCCACCCAATTGCCAGCAATGGAAAAAAAGTTGTGATACATCATGACGTGTCATGTGACGTTGCGAGTTTGACACCCCTGACTTAGATTATCTGTTCAATAAATGTATATTTCTGTTTTTTCTGTGTATATTTCAAAAATACAATAAACACATACAACTTGAATATTCATACAAACAGATTTATTGGCATCTTTTGCAATCAGTCAAGAAATATTGATAATCTCAAAGCTTTAGTTTGGAATTTGGCCAAAGTCTTTACTCATCATGTTTTCATGTTTAATAGAAAGAGGGAAAAACTGCAGTGGTCCACCCAAGATTGAGAATGGAGACATTACTACTTTATCTGAGAAGCAATACAGATCTGGGTCTTTAGTAGAATTCAGATGCCAAAGGTATTATGCCATGGAAGGCCACAACAGATCTTTCTGTGACAATGGGACCTGGACAAAAGTGCCCATTTGCCTCGGTAAGCAGAAAAGATTATCTTCATTTAATTTTCATGAGCATTTTCAATCTGCTTTCTTTCTTTCTCACATAAGAATGGTTTAATTGGTCTTGCCTGCAGCCTCTCTTCTTTATATATGGTTTCAGTTTTACATCTGAAGTGAACTGGCTAGTAGGTGAAAACTAAATTCTATTGTTAGATCTTTGCAACAAGATAATAAGATGCATTTTATCCTGACTTCCTTCTCTAACAGATTTATTTTGTTTTTCATCTTAGATCCCTGTATGATTACCAAGGCTGAACTAGAAAGGCAGAAGATAGAAGTTAAAAATGGAAAGGATGAATCTGAAAATATATATGTGCAACGTGGTCATTCTATTGAGTTAACCTGTAAATCAGGATATGTACTTGCAGCAGATTCTTCCCAATCAGCTTCTATAATCCATTGTGATGGGACAACCCCCGTGATTCCTAATTGCAAAGGTGACTCAAAAAGTTTAGTTTTACAAACTGTGGCTAAGTTAGTCCAAAACAGCACATTCTTCCTTGAGAATTTTTCCAAAAAGATTGCTCATTCATCAAAGCAGGATAATATATCTGCATTTATATCATTGAATGGTACAGTGATTGCTTTTGCCAAAAACAAACCCCAGCTAAGTTACTACATATATATACTGCTCAAAAAAATAAAAGGAACACAAACGTATAGGATCCTATATGTTTGTGTTCCCTTTATTTTTTTGAGCAGTATATTTTTAAAGAATTCATAAACTATTACCATACCAAAATCCATATATCAGTAACAATAGGAATTCCAACTCGGTTACTAACAAGAATATAGGAACTTTTTAGTTAGTACTAGAAAATATTACTTTGTATCTGATCTTGGAACTAATTGATAAGAGGATGCCTAATGAGGGTCATTTCACAATTCTAGCAGTTTAATATTTTGTTTTCTCTGTTAATAGAAAGCAGTAGCCATCATCTGATACTAGTTCAAGCTTTTCTTTTTCCAATATATGATTTATTTTGTCCAGAAATTACATGCAACTCTCCAAGAGTATCAAATGGTTCTTTCAAACCTCAAAGAACTGTATACCATGATGGAGATCTAATTCGAATTCGGTGTGACAGTAGATTTGTTTTTAAACCAGATAATGGAGGGCAAGTGGTTGAATGCACAAAAAATGGATGGTCACCCCCAGCAAAATGTGTCCGTAAGTACAGGTTTCATACATTTCTATGATTAGGGCCAATATATTTAACTCTGCACAAGTGTACTTTTTCACTTTATTTTATATGACTTTTTTTTCTTTCCCTTCCTTCCTTCCTTCCTTCCTTCCTTCCTTCCTTCCTTCCTTCCTTCCTTCCTTCCTTCCTTCCTTCCTTCTTTCCTCTTTTTCTCTCTCTCTTTCTCTCTTTATCTCTCTTTCTTTTTCATATATTTTATTGATTTTTTAAAACATAAATCACTTAATAGTTGGTAAACAGTATGTTTGCTGGGTTTACATTTGTAAAGAAAAATCATTAACAATTGGTTTCTATAATCCCTAATCCACATAGTACATTTAGTTGATTTCCCTTTTTCCCCAAAATGTCTTTTTGCAAACCTTGAATTAATACAGTTCTTATTATTTTGATAAATAACAGTTACATATATGATTTTTTCCCCAATATTCCTAGAAATAATGATCACATCAATATAATATTTCTTTTCTATCTAATCATTCTGGTTGTCTCGTCTTATATCCTGTTACAGTCCTTATTTAGACTTGTTTCTCCCATAAAGTTCAAAGTATTCTTGCTGCTTAAGATTTTCTCAACAGTTAAATACATTTAAAGGTTTAAATCCATTTTCCCATATAAACCATCTCAACACTTTTACATTTCTTAAAGAATAGGTAAAATAGTAAACAAAAGGAAAAGAGAGCAAGAGTAAAGAAACATAAAAAGTAAAATACTATTTAAAATATATATTCCTCCTAAGCTAATATATATTCACTCCCAAAATTTCTTATTCTTTTTAATCATAATTAAAAATATATTTAATCTTTAAATATTCCATTTAATGTGTCTAGTCATCTGATCCTTTAACTCTTATTCAAAACATTTTTTCTTTTTTATATATTATAATTTCCCTAAATTCAAACATATTTAATTATCTAAAACATTTCCTTCATCTAAACCAAGGGTGTCAAACTGCTGGCCCACGGGCCGGATGCATCATGTGGAAGCCACATCCACCCCATTGCCAGCAATGGCAAAACTCTCCCAATACTTTGTGCAATGTCAAATGACGTTGCGAGTTTGACATGTCTGACCTAAGCCATTTCAACAGTATTATCAAGAAATAAAATAAAAAGGGCGAAAAAAGCATACAGTATTATTTAAGGAATTCATCCCTCTTAGAATGACATATGTATTCAGAATCTTTTCTATTTCTTTAACCATATTCAAACAAATGTTTCTTTTTTATATATTCTCTCTGGTAGATTCCATCATTTGTTTTCTTAATTTTCACTTTAATCTTTTTCTTTTGACCAGTATCTTTCCTGATCAATGTGTTTTGCTGAATCAAAAAGTTTTTCCATATATTCATGACTGTTGCTGTAGGTATAAGAAGTAAATTGAATAAAGTGTCTTTATGTGAGGGTTTTGCCTTTCCATGTTTCTTGAAAATCTTTTTCTTTTTCTCCTTCTTTGCTTCTCTTATCACTTTCTTTCTGTCTGATGTTTTCAACATCTCTACATTCCATTTTATCCTATCTGTTTTTTTGTCCTCAAATTTATTTTGTAGTCTTAAGGGATGAGTTGTTTTTTCCATTCCTTGTAAAAAAATTTCCACTATGATTAAATCATGTTTTCTTGCTTTGTTAAGTTCCGTCTTTGAGTCTCTATTTTCAATTTTATGTCCATTTATTTGTTTTGTCTGTTCCTTCTCTGTTGTTGTTTCCTGGAAGTTTTTTTTATTGTAGAATTAACTTAGAAATAGATTGGTTTATATTTTCAAATTTATTTTGGATTTCTTTGTGAGTTGAACTTAGTGTTATTTAAATTAATTGCAATATACTATATATCTCCTCCTGAGAGGTATTTATGTTTTCTTGGTGAGTTCTATCTACATATCTCTGATCCATGATGGCCAAAAGTTCAAGTTTTCTTTCTTATCTGCAAATAGCTTTAGAGTCCCAGTTAAATATATATTTGTAATCCAAAGAGTTCAAAAAAGATTTTTTTTCTAAAGTTTATAATTCTCTTTTTGTCTGCAGCCCAGATTTTTGTCTTTTTTCTGTCACAGCTGTTCTTTGTTATTAAAGTTTTGAAGGTTACAAACACAGATTAGCTTTTCCCAGGTTTTGGCAAGTTCTCTGTGAAATCATAACTGTCATCATCTTCATCCACCACTACGTGTCAGCATCTATTTAGTTTTCAATATGAACAATGGTCTTTAAAATGAGAGTCTTAACTATTCAACAATTTTAAACTTGTCCAAAGTTAAATTTTAGCTTTGAAGTTTATAAATTTATTTCACTACCATATATTTCAATCCTCCATAGAAATTTTAATTCACCACTTCTGTTAGTATAAGGGTGGGGTGGAAGTCCCCCTCCTCCACTTTCAGAGGTATTTTGCTTCTTGGGGATCTTTTCCAGGAAATTAAGTTAGAATAGAAAAGGGAAAATCAGATTCCTCATCCAGTTTCAAACACACTGTTTACTGTTGTGCTGGTTAGTTCTTTTGGATTTTGGTTGCAAGTAGTTTGGGCTGATCGGTGAAATACAGCCTTTCTCCTGTTGGGTTAGAAGGCTTTCCCCAAGATGAACGAAAGGATGCATCCTTTCTTCGCCGCGTCTCCAGGGCAGCTTGGACCCATTAGGGTATCCAGGGAGGACGAAAATTAGCCACAGGGATGCAGCAGTTTGCAAGCCTGCGACCAGTTGCTATCACGCAGGACTGGAAGTCAGTCTCTCTCTCTCTCTCTCTCTCTCTCTCTCTCTCTCTCTCTCTCTCTCTCTCCTTTTAATTACATTTTTTCCAGCTGTGCATCTCTAGTTTAGGACTGACATGATCAAACACTTTATAAGTCATTTTACCCTTTTTTTAAAGTTTTGCCCACCATCACATTTTACAGATGCATTGCTACTGCAATTCATATAAATCCAAACCAGGGTGACCTCTGGCATTCTTAGGGAAAGCTGGTCTATCCAGTGGTTGAATTTATCAAAATATAATTACTTTATCTAAGAAAACTAATGGAATTATTCTGAGTGGTTGTAAAACTTTCCTTTTAAAAAAGAAATAATTTTAACTTATTTTTTTACGAACTATGGAATAAGATTTGGCAGCTAGGTTTTGCTGAATGCTGTTTCTTTTTCATTGGTATCTAGCTAAAAATGCATGTGGACTACCCCCTAGAAGAGCAAATGAACAACCTACAGAACAATGGGATGCAGAGACATTTGTACATGGACATATAATATCATATAAATGCCGCCCTGGGTATGTTAAAACATGGCCTATTAAACTTCATTGTAATAATGGAGTCTGGCAACAATTGATACCTTTTAAGAACTGCACAGGTAAGTAATAAAATAATGTTTTGCAAAATTCAGTGAAGAAGGATACTGAAATGTTTAAGAAATGTTTTTTTCCACATTTCTGATTAGTATTTTTGATTATAAGCTATCAAGTTGATGTTGGCTCTTAGTAATCATGTAGATAGATACCATTAGATCCCATCTGATCCCATCATATTCTTTCATTCCACTTTTCCAAGTATTACGGATTTTATCAGAAAGCTAGGTCTTTGCATAATGTGTTCAAAGTAGGATCCATCCAACCCACTTAGAACGGAGTGGCAAGGAATGTTTTGGGTCCTGTCCCTTAAGGAGGTACACCTGGCTGGATCCAGGAAAAGGGCCTTTTTCCATTGTGACTCTCTCCCTTTGGAATATCATCCCTTCAGAAATTAGACTGGCCCCCACTTTGTTACTCTTTCCCTGAAGACTTGATTTTGTCAGAGAGCCTGGAAAATATAGAGTGGGATGGAGTCCATCAAATGGCTAATTTGATTGTCTGTTGTTGCATGTGTGTATGCTATTGCTTTTTATTATTTTTATTTTCTATACTGTGTTTTTATTGCTTGTAAGTCATCTAGAGTAGCTGTGAGCAAGCAAGCAGCTATATAAATTTTATAAATAAAAACATAAATTTTCTGTTTCCCTTTGCATTCTGTTTTTATTTGATACCAAGTACCATGAATTACATTGTTATAACCAAAAATAGAAGTTGCTTTTCAGACTGAATGCCAGGAGGAATACGTAGCTATTTCCATGAGTAAGAACTTTGAATTTACCATGTAATATCTTAATGAAAGGCATTTCATATGATTACACATCATTCAGATTATCACAATGTACACATCAATGGGGTGAAGCAGGAGTGCAAGATTTCTGAATGTCATAAGACCAGGTTTAGTTCATAATGACAGTGAGATAGGAAAGGTGAAATAGGCAAGGGAAGATGTAAGCGTTGCGCAATCTGAGGGCTTTCCAAATGCTAATTTTCTTGCTGTATTGCATTGTATTACTTTTTTTTTAATTTGCAGGAATATCTTGTGGCCACCCAGGAGATTCTGATTATGCCAGTTTTGAACTTGACCGTGGAGAGGATTTTACTTTTGGTGCCCGTGTTGTTTATACCTGTAATGAAGGGTAATACTTTTATAGTTGTTTTTTCCCCTTTCTAATTATTTGTTTTATATATAGCCCCGTGTATTAAGAAAAACAAAAGCTCTGTCTCCCAAAATAATAATGCAATTATATTGCATTCTAGTGTGGGAATTTGTAACATATCCTTAGAGTTCTTCTCTCTTGCCTGTATGTAGATCTTGATATGTGGCTAGTCCACAAGAAAAAAATAAAGTGAAAAGAGAGATTATTCACAAACACACACACACAAACACACACACACACACACAGAGAGAGAGAGAGAGAGAGGGAGGGAGAGAGAGAAATATCAGTTTGCTGTAGTGGTAAAGATACTGGTTCAGAAACTAAGAGACTTTGAATTTTAGGTTTTCCTTTGGGAAACATGGTAGGCAGGAGTATTAGATATGTTTGCTGCTTTGTGTCATATTTAAAAGACAGGATAAACATACACACATACACATGTATATATGTATACATATACAGACACTTTAAGATTGAGAGTCTGATGTGATGTAATCTATAGCTCTTGTCTGGCCATCAAGAAGGTAGACAGTGATTTAAGAAACATTTCAACTTTAGCAGAAGTCCATCCTATCTACCTTTAGACATTCAGTGGGATTCTAGATCTATTGAAGTAGAGATTATGCACTTGTTCTTGTTAGTGAGTAAAGCTAACACCTAAATAAATACTTGTACTTATATTAGTGCCATCCTCAACCCTGATAAAAAGTCATCTAATTCCACCCATTATTTTATATATAAAATCCTTATTTATTCAGATGCAATTATTCTCAGGAAATATAATACTGGGTGTTTGACCATCATGGATTTTTTTTAGTTGTAGTCCTCCTGAAGTGTATTGGAACACTTCAATCTTAAAATCATAAAGGTGGAAGAGGCTCGGTGAAAAAATACCAGTTAATACATTCATATATGTAGCTGCATAGACTTCACTTAAATAACTACAATGAAGAAGAGTGCAACCACTTCTCTGAGTGAATGGTTTCACTGTCAAACCAATTTGATGAAGTGTTTTGTTTTTTCCTCTTAAGATTCATTTGCAATCTTTTCTATATTGTACCTTAAAAGCATTATTCTGGGTTCTCTTGATTGTTTCTGATGTATGGCATTCTTTTCATAGCCATCTTGGTTTTCTGTAGTGGATTGAGTGGTCAGGCACTTTTCCATAAAGTTGTGCAGATATCAATTTTATTAGAAGATGTATAGATGGTCTGCTTTTTTGTTCCTGTGTTCTGCATTGCTGCAGAATATTTGTGCTCATCTGAATAATGTACATATACAGCTCCTCTTATGGAAAGTTGGGTTATTATTTTCGTAGTGGAGCACTTAGCTAGTGTGGGTAGTTTTCAATAGACTTGTGTTTCTAATTTGCTGCAATTTCTTCTGCTAATGAAGGAAGTGAAGTGTGTTTCTTCCATTGTGAATTTTATTCCTTTGAAGATGCTGATTATTTCATGCGTATTCACTAGCTGTCCCTTGAACATTATGAGGAAAGTATCATCTACATACCAGATCCTTATTTTGGATTGTATGTGTGGGAGCTATAGTTTCTAGACAATGCATTACAGTCTCTGTTATGAATCTAGAGAATGAAGATCCCATGAGTGTACCTCTGATGTGTTGGTATATTTGTCCATCAAATTGAATGGAGGTACCGAGGCAGAGATTGACGAGGTCCACAATTCTGGGTATTTCATTCTTAGTGTATTTAGTGTATTTAGTTAGGGCAAATGTGTTATGAAGTACTGCCATCATGGATTATTTCTATGGCTTTCTGAGTCTATGAAGAAAAGGGTGCTGTAACATCAAATGAAACCATAGTTTCATCTTCTCTTATTATGTCTTTGATTTTCTGATGGCACTGTATTATAGAATATTTGCTTCTCTCTCAGATGCCCAAGCTTTTTGTAAGTTCTTTGGCTATGTTGTATATTGGGATTCCTGATAATGAGACAGTTGAATGAAGAACTACTGTATGTCATGTTTGTGTATTTTGGGGCATCCATAGAAGTTTGGCTGAACGGAACATAGAAAACAGAGTTAAAAAGAACTAGGACTGAAAAACACAATGGAGGCCATGCGTTTTATTGTCAAGAATCCAATGCAGAAAATAATAAAATAAATAATATTCTTGGGGGAGCAACAGTTTGAATTTGAGGGTACCTGATGGATTATAAAGCTTTAAGGAGATTTACACCCTTTGCCACAAGCTAACCATAATAACATCAGACTATCTGGAGTATAACATTTATTTTTGTAACATACTTCATTTTGCAATGTTGCTATACAATGTCATTATGCTCTTGAATTTTTCCTCTTATGTATCTCTTCATTAAATATTTGGAGCACATGAGGGCACTCCTATTACAAGGGATAATTACTTGAAAGTTTCATTTATACTTTTTATTGTACTACATACGTACATGTCTATTCAGGGTAGAGTCTGGGAAACTGGATGAAGCATTTACTGGCTGAATGCCCTTCCTGATGCCTATACAGATTGCGCAGCAGTTATTTTTTTTCTTTGCGCCCTAGGAGAGAAACATCTGCCTCTAACTAGGATTGAACTCTCAACCTTCTGAATGGGAGGCAAGCATGTTTACCAATAGGCCACATGCCACTCAGTTCAGGGATACAATCATGGGATTGTATTCTTGCTGTATTTAATATGTACAATGTTGCTTTTATATTATTTTGGGCTGTGTGAGTTTCTCTCTCTCCTCCCACCTCTCTCTGTAATTCTTTTTTTTTAAATATCATACACTGTTTTGGAAATATAATATTGTATATCCAGAAGTGTTTTTTAATTTGGTGATAGTTTCAAACATTTTGGAAGGGAAAATAAATTTAAAAGTTGAGGAGGATGAGTTTTTCATCTTTTTCTAATTAAATACCAGACTTGTAAACACTTCTAGAGCTCCAAGAATGATAAGTAATAATTAGAATAATGCATCTTCTCAGTATGTTCTAAACTATTATAAAATGTGCTTTGATGTATAATTCTATTGCAATATTAATGTTTTTAATTCACTATTTTTTTAATTATTAGGTATAAGATGCTCAGCCAATTTGATTACCGTGAATGTCGAGCAAATGGATGGACCAATGAGGTTCCTCATTGTGAAAGTAAGTAGGCTCTCAAAGAAATTATTAGGGATCAGAGTAGTACAAATTGACTTCAATCCCCACATACTGCCATGGTTATCAAGCAACATCATTTCTGGCTTTAGTTGTGAGTTTCAAAACAATTCCATTTCTCTTTTTTATTCCCATGGAAATGAACTCTTCAGATAAATTTTATAAATCAAATATTTTAAATAATTTTTACTACTATGTTTTTCTTCTAAATAAATTACATATTGTTTCAATTTTTTCAAATAATGAAATAAATTTCTGTTTTGAGATGGAAGAGTTTGCTTAATTATATATCACATGAGGGATTTAAAATCTCCTGTATATGCCAAAATCAATACCGGTTGTACTTAACTTGGTGCTTCACCCTTAGTTTGTTGTTGTGTCTGTTGCATAGTTTCTTCTGTCACTTCCATTTGTTTTGTGTCCATGTCTTCTTTAAATGTTTCTAGGAAATCTCATGATGTTAAAACTGAGTTACCATAGTCAAACTCTCTTGTAGAAGATGACCAGGCTGTGCCCAAGGAGGGGTAAAACACATCATAAGTCATGAGTCCCTGCACACCCATAAAAGATCTAAGTCCAGCCCACCTTGAATGCATCTCTTATTTCCCACACATTTCTCTTAACAGCCAGTTGGCCAGATTCTTGTAGAGAGTTTAAGCTTGCAATAAATCTTTATACTTATTTGAGCTGCCTGATCCCATCTCTTGATTTCCCAGGCTTGACATCTTGACTTGACATCTTGTCTTGACACCTCTACTATTTAAAATTAAAAATCTTTCCTTCCAATTTGTTTCAAAAAAATGGTATCATTTTATGTTCGAGCTTTTCAATCAAAAATATTTTTTCCTTAAGTAGAATTCTTTTTTTAAATAATATTTTATTGGTTTTCTAATTTTACAATTAAGTATTTAAAAAGCAGCATGGTGACTGGATTAATCAATAGTTCAATAGCATACATAAACCTTTAGTATAAATCTCAAGTTACAACATCAGATATTTCCTCTCTTTTCCTCTTAATATCTACTATCTCATATTAGGTTAATACAGTTAATACAGTTCTTATTATTAACGAAGTAAAAATCTTTATTATATTTATCAGTAATTTTATCTTAATTGTGTTTGCATTCATTCCTTAAATATAATCAATGTCCTGTTATTGCTTTTTTCCCAAGCTTTAATTTCCCATCAATATTCAAATTAACATTTGGTATTTATAATTTCCAAGCTTTAGGTAACCAAAGTTTCCTTTATTTCAACTTCTTCATTTTTCCCTTTTTATAACAAAATCTAATATTCTAAATACACATTTTATCTATTTGAATATAGTCTTGTTCTGTTTTCTAAAAAGTTATCTATTTTCCACCATATTTAAACCATCTAATTAATAATACAGTATCCCCTCTAATAAATCACAACCATTATATGTATTGTCTGGGTTAACCAATAAATCAGTAATATACATACATTTTTTCATTTAGGTCTAATTTTTAAAAGCTCAAATACTCCCTCTCTTTTTCTGGTAATATCTATTATCTTAACTGATTTACAAATATTTTATATTAGATGACCAAAATTTCCCTTATTATTCAATTATAATGTTACTTTATTTTCTAAAAATTATCTATTTTCCACCATATTCAACCCTCTAATTAGTAATATTAAATCCCTTCTAATAAATCAAAACCCTTATTTTCTTCAGCCTTACTCTGGCTTTCTTCCTTTGCCAACTAACCTTCCATGTCAGTGCTTTTGAATTATCAAATAGTTCTCCCTTTATTATTATATGTATATTTGGAATAAGAAAGACCATTTGGTTGCAGTTTTTTTGGAAGAACTAGCCCATTTGTATTTATTAGATTGCCTCCCTATTACTCCAATTTCTCACAATTGTCCTGATAGGTTTATCCTCCCTTCAATCTGTTCTTCTTCCTTTCCCTCAAATTTCTTCTGACTCCCTGTTCTGATTTTTTTTTAAATTTAAATTTTTCACCTCTCCAGTCAACTGCCCCACAGATTCTTCAGATATTTTTAAATCATCTCTTCTTTCATTTTATCCTTCATATTTACAAATATTTCTTCCAATCTCCCTTCAAATGTAATCAAGTCTCTTTTAACAGATTCAGATACATTCTTCCCTAATTCTTCATTTATTTTTTTAATCTCTGGAATTATCATCTTTTTCTTGAGTGCTCTAACAATCCTCTCTTTCCTTTTCCAAATTTTGCTGATTTTCTAGCAGCATATATTTGTTTTATTTGTAGCCCAGAAAGAGAAAAGGAGCCAAGTACAAAAGTAAAAGGGAGGTTTCTCTCTCCCCCCCCCCAACCACCATTTGCCTTTTCTGTATTACCTTAAGCATCTGATCCCTTCTGACACTTTGAAGTTCTAAAATCACATCTTCTGTTTTAGGATTCCTTTAGCTCATTATTTTGAAAAGTCACCAATTGTGTCTTCGCTAAAACTCAAAACAATCTGCATTCTCATTAAGCTATGTATATATTTAATAATTTCAAAAGTGCTGTGTAAAATAGTATTTCAAACCTGGCTATCCTTTTTAATCTATTTCAAACTTATTTAGAACAAATTCCTGTCAAGCTTCTTGTTGTTGATTTTAAATTTTTAAAATTGATATTTTATTTTTTTACTTTAATCCAGAATGAAGGCTCACTCACACTCACCAAGTAATTAATTGTTCTGCCTTTTTCCCTTTAAAATAATTTTAATCCCAAAAAGAAAGTGATGTTTTCCCTTTAAAATAATTTTAATCCCTTAAAAAAGTGAGGTTTTAAGCAAGGAAGCTCAGACTTGTTATCCAATCATCAGTCCTCATCACAATATCATCTCCACTCCTCCAGAGACATCTTAGTCCATCATTGTGATCATTTGGAAGTCACATGTATTCTTAAACTGTAATTTGTTCAGAAATATCAGGTCTGCTTATATTATGTTCCTAAAACATAAATTTCAATCAATCAGAATAGAGCTGGAAGGAACCTTGGAGGTCTTCTAGTCCAACCCTTCTGCTTCTAGTCCAAGCAGAAGACCCTATACAATTTGATTTCTTGCATGAGTTGAGTAAGTGGACTACTCTTCCCTCCTTGTCTGCATAATCTGTCCTTTGAATCATTTGATGATTTTTCAGTTCTGGCCTTGATAAGATTAGTTTGAATATCTTGGTCTTCAGCAGCCAAACTCAAGTTTCTTTTTTTTAAAAAAATGTTCCAGTTGTAACCATTACCTGGTTTTATCTTCATTCACTTTTCCCTCGAATCTTTGTAGAAATTGATCATGTAGTGCTTTCCCTTGACAGGATTTTGATATTTTTTTTATTATATTATTTCAATATTCGGAGGGTTTTTTTGTTTCCAGCATATTCAGTAAGTTCCAGTTTTTAATTTGTATCAATGATTGTTCTTTGTTGTCTTTTATGTAGTCAACAAGTGTATGATTTTATTACTGTTATTGTTGCTGTTGTTTTAGATGATGGTAAGTAAGTACTAAATTATTTAAATGTAATAAATATTTTGGGGTCAGTGAACAATCTCAAACATTATGAAGGGACTGATGAACTTAAGAGTTGGGGACCCCTAGCTTAGGGGAAAGATAGAGGTATCAGCTTTCCTCTGCCAGATGTCCTGTAAGTTTGATACACCCCAACCTTTTTAAATTGAGGCAATTGCTTGACAGCTAGTGCTGCAATCACCAGTCCTTCAGAGGATATTGGTCTTTGGTGTTTTCTCCATATACCTATGGAGAAAGTAAGAAAAATTCCCTTGACAAAGAGATATGCAGGAACTGTTGCCTAGGAAAAAAAGGGCTGAAGCATTCTTAAGTTCAGAAAAGCAAGATAACATTTGGAAAGCACTCAGGACTTCTTTCCTATTTACTGAATGAAGGAGGAGGAATATAGCACAATCAGATGCATAAGATACTGTTATTATAACAAATTTCAGTAAAGGTAGTCCTAAGTTTCCTTAGCCCATCCATTTGGTGAGGCTGATAGAACTGAAACACACGAGACAGGGAAAGATCCCCTAGCATTTTTTCTTTGCAAATTGAAAAAAAACATAATAATAAACATAAACATAATAAATTCTATAGGTTTATAGCATGAGGATCTCTTCTGATTTTGCAATATATTAATCACATAGGCAGTGACTTATTGACCACATATCCTTATTTATATTTCTCTGTAGAAATTCAATGTCCCCCTCCAGAAATGAGGGGTGGTCGCTTTCAACCTAGGCAATCTCAATATATGTATAATGAGGAAATTGAGATAAACTGTCTTGGAAGTCCAATCTTTGTAAATATCCCAAAGAAGTTTTCTAAATGCACTGCTAATGGTTGGAACCCCTCTCCTCTCTGTTAAGGTAAGCAGCTTTTTTTTTTTTTTTTAGTTTCCTTGTTTTGAGTTTGTTTCCAAAGCAGAAATTGCTTTATTGTTTATGAAAGATAAATTGATTTATTGACAATAAATGACTGATGATGAAAAACAATGGTAGCAGTAGACTAGTTTATTATACCTAGCAGCAGTGCTTCTAATTCACCCTGGTTGTTAGCCAAACTTTGAACATTTGTATATAAGTATTTGAGACCTTTAAGTATGTCCAGGGTGAGTTAGTTTTCTTGGGGTTTATGGTTGATTTTATATTCTAATAATCCTAAAGATTGCTCACCCTTCCCCCTCAATTTTAGTCTAAAACCCTTCTGTTGAGTTGAGCCAGTTGCTTTCTGAGTACATTTTCCCCTGTTTTTGTGAGGTGCATAAAAAAAAGATGGCAGGAGATTAGTATACCTAACAGTAATAATGATAACATTTCTATAATTTTTCTTCTTAAAATATCCTGAAGTCATTTATAATAATCATAACATTGTTTCACAAAAAGCAAGGAAAAAAATCTAGCAAAAGCAAATTAAATAATAATAATATTACTATGATGCTACTGTATAGCATCCATGCTGTGACTAAACATAATCCATAAGCCAGAGCACATGGAGTACCTCTCTGAAGACTGTAGGGAGTCAAGAAGATGATGTAATCAGAGTGATTCTTTAAAGAAGCCACATCCTTTCCCAATCAGAGAAAGAAATTCAGTGCTTACAAAAGCGAGTTTACAACTTTTATTGTTTCTTTTCTGAAGTAAAAGCTTAAGACATAACATATTTACACAAGGACACATATTCAGGATCTGAAATACAGGCAGAAGCATACAGACATGTGTCTATCAGCGGGCTGAAAAGACTAGTGAACATACATCCAAAAATAACCAAATGGACCAATCTCTGGAAGGAAGTAGGGGTGCTTCTTGAAGCACCCAGCCATTTTCCAGCTCATCAGTATGCCTACTGAGCTACATTAGAATATTTATTAGCTTTAATCTGTTCTAAATCCTCTATAGTTTTATAGGTTAAAGAAAAAAATCTCAGATCTTTGGTGAATTTCATTCCAGGTTGGAAGAAATGCTGGCACAAAATGGCAAGTGTACTTTGAAGAATGCTGTGGAGTATGCAAAACAACATTAGAGTAAAAACAATAGGTTATTATATTTACATAGGATATTCCTCTATAAGATAAGGGGAAGGGACAGAGAGTTAAACTAATTGCCCCATATTACCTGCTCACACCAGGTGAAATTGTTGCGCTTTTTAGTGGTATGCTGGTCCTTGGCAATATAGGAGTTGCTGGTATTCCAACTCTGCCCTTCTCAGTTATATAAGTGGCTCCATGCCAGTTTTGATGTGTGCTTGATAAAGCAAGGTGTAGTCTGGCTTTACAGGGAACTTTTCCTTTTAAAGTTGGTTAGGCGGCCCAAAGTGAAAAGATAGTTCCTTGAATAATAAGGGAACAAGATTTGAGGCATATTAACACCTATGGTGAAGAAATGGAATAAAACACATTGTTAAGATGGAAATACAGTTGAATTTCTATGTAAAAGAGGCTATCAGCCACACCCATATTCCAGATCATTTAAAATTACTTGCATAAATGGAAAAATGGACTATCCATATTGCATTAATATATGTATACTTTCCCTTTCTTTCCTTATTTTCTTCCCACCTTTTATTATCAGCATGCAAATGAAGCATTCTGATTTTCAAGTATTTTATGGTTTTCATCACTCCTAAATCACTCATCCCACTTTGGATAGAATCACTCTTATAGAAAGCTGGATGGTTATACCCAAGTTTGGTCAGTCTTATTAAAATAACTTTGATATAAGATTATTTCACCTATATGGCTCCTAAAGGGAAGGAAGATGATTTCTTCTTAATCATCTTATTCAAGAAGTATCCTTCAGATAATGAAGAGGGAGAAAGACTAGATGAACTCACACAATTTTTATATATTTTAAGGGTAGCCATGGGTTATAAATATTTAACAAACCCAGAGATTTCTCTGAATAAAATGGAATTCTAAACCAGCCTTGCTTTCTGCAACTGTTTCTAAACCAGGGAAATCCTTAGGCATCCCATGACTTAAATCAGTTTCCTTTCATTCAGAACAACAGAGAGGAAGTGCTTATGTCTGTGGTAAGTGGTATATTTAAAAACAATAAGGATTGGGTCAGAGAGATTCAACAGCTGCCCTCATTTCATGTTTTCCTGAATCTTTTAGGGCTGAAGTGAGTAATTTATTCTAAGGAGGATATTCTCACTGATTTCCATATCCTTAGTGCAGCAAGTTCAGTTTGAATCAGCCTGAATTTTTTACTATAAAATTATTGGGTTGGATCCAATAGTCCATTGCAATCAAAGAAATTTCATTTAGTGATGACTTGTTCAATTTATCCAATAGATTTCTGAGAGGGTCTACTTTGAGCAAAAGTAAATTTGGATTCAGTCCAGTCCCCCTACTCATCTTAAATCTTATGCTTCTGGTTCACTGTGCCTTCCGGAATTTAGATCCTAAAATATAAAAGATTCCTGATTAGTCTCAACATTTCTGAAGTACTTACATTTTTATTGTAGCAAAAGTGATTTTAGAGGAAGAAAAAAAGGAAACAGTTGCTTTGTGACAGAATGGTCTACAATCACTCTAGATTCTAGAACGAGTCTCCATTTTGGCCAACTGATTTAATGTACAGAGATAACCATGTCTGATATTTTATCCATATTGCCCATGTGTGGAATAAGTTTAATATTGCAAAAGTATCAAGGGTGCATTTTGTTACAGAGGAAGAAGTATAAAAAAATAGTTCTTTAAAATATAACTTGAAAACTCATATTGTATTTTGTAGGTCTAAGACAATGAAAGATAGCAGCCCATTTTAACCAGCATGTGGACGTCAGTAATCATGGATCATTCAAGTAACCCTACTTGAAACTTCATTCTGAACTCTGGATTGTAATGGGTCTTGAACATAAAAGCCTACTTTTTAAAAGCTACATTTTAGAACTTATTATTATTGGTAAAATGATAACACAGTTTTCAACAAATATATACACCATGTTTAACTATTATAGTATGTGATATACATTTTTCAAAATGTACCTGAAGTCAATAATGTATTTATGTATAAATTTTTAGCCAAAATGTTTGATTAATGAGAATTACCAATCATTAGCCCTTCCTAAAGCAATGACAATAGATCATTGAAAATGATACCTTAACATGAAGTGTTAAGTTCATTAAATAAATAAAACTCATCTGTAAAAATTATTTTTCATTTTTTAAGGAGATGTAAATTCTCACAAATATTAGCTAAGATGAATGGAAGTCCTGATGCTAATTGAGTTCAATGGTTTCTACCTACAAAGCTCTTTCACAACACTTTTATTCACAGGGAACATTCAATGTCATGTGTGACGATTTACATTTATATAAAGATAAAGATTTCCCTGTCAGTCATGTCCAACTCAAGGATATTGCTCATCTCCATTTCTTGGCCAAGGAAGCCAGCGTTATCCGAAGACAATTTCTGTGGTCATGTGGCCAGCATTGGTATATATCAAAGGTGCATGGAATACTATTACCTTCCCACCAAAATGGTACCTATTAATCTACATGCTTTTGCATACTTTTGAACTACGAAGTGGGCAGGAGCTGGGCAAGTACTGAGAGCTCAGCCTGTTGCACGGAGCTTGGGTCTCAAATCCCGGCTGTCAGCAGCTGACAAGCTCAGCGTCTTTAACCACTGAGCCCTCTGTCTGTCTGTCTGTCTATCTATCTATCTATCTATCTATCTATCTATCTATCTATCTATCTATCTATACATCTGTACAACTATACATCTATACATACATACATATAGTACACACACACACACACACACAAACACACATACACAGGTTGTCCTCGACTTACAACAGTTTATTTAGTAACCATTCAAAGTTACAGTGACACTGAAAAAAGTGACTTATGATGGATTTTCATATTTATGACCATTACAACATACCCTTGGTTACATGATCAACATTCAGATGCTTGGAAACTGACTCATATTTATGATCTTGCAATCTTCTGACAAGCAAGGTCAGTGGGGAAGCCAGATTCATTTATCAAGCATGTTACTGTCTTGACAACTGCAGTGATTCACTTAAAAACAGTGGCAAAAAGGTTGTAAAATGGGGCAAAACCAGTGGTGGGATTCAAATACTTGAACAAACAGTTCTCTACATGGATGCAGGCCTAGTCCTCTGAGGCCTAGAATGGACTTTGGGAAGTGACATCCACGCATATCCTGTGGGCCATTCTAGGCCTGGAAGATCTCCTCCAGACCTCTGAGGCCTAGAACAGACTTCCGGAAGTGTCATCCATGCACTTCTGGGGGGCTGTTCTAGGCTGGGAGGCCTCCTCCAGGCCTCTGAGGCCTAGAACGGACTTCCAGAAGTGACATCCACACACTTCCTATGGGCCGTTCTAGGCCTGGGACACCTCCTCCAGGCCTCCGAGGCCTAGAATGGACTTCCAGAAGCATCATGGGTTCAGCCAGTTCTCCGAACTCAACAACATTTAGCTACCAGTTCTGCTGAACTGGTACGAACCAGTTAATCCCACTACTGGGCAAAACTCACGTAATGTCTCACCAACATAAATTTTGAGCTTGGTTATGGTTGTAAGTTAAGGACTCTCTCTCTCTCTCTCTCTCTCTCTCTCTCTGTGTGTGTGTGTGTGTGTTTGTGTTTAAATGATGTACTGTATGTGTACATGTATATATACATATATATTATTTAAACAGCCTTTTTTGCCAGTTCCAATAAATTTTGTAATGTTTATCAAAGCTATGGCTTGAAATCCTCACACTGATAGGAAGTTATTCTTGCAAGACTGGACTTTACTTTATCCATTCTGCAATCAACCATCCTGCTTTTCATGTTTCTAAACCTCTCATATTCAGGCATCATATTAAGAGTCCGGCCACAGACAAGAGAGAACTGCACACATCCTTCTAATTTCTCATACCTCCTAATTTCTCATTCTAATATCAAAACTGTGATAAAGATATATTGTTTGCTAGCCAGAAAGCATTATAAGAAAGGATTGATTTTCTTCTGGAAGTTGTTAAAGGCCTTGCTTCTCGTGATGCTTTTTCAGTTCTTCTAAATATACAAGAATGGACAATAACTGAGAATCTGGGCAGATTCTTTGGGCATGAAAAGTGTAAAGAGTAAGAAGGTCCCTGAAAAGAATTTCCAGTTGCTGGTTATAGGCAAAGATGGAAGAGTTTCTGCAGAAAGGGAAAGAATCTGTGATATCAAGTGCATGTCATTATCCAAACTTTTATGCAACAATTTATTTCATATATTCAATATCCTTCTGACATATGTCACATAAGTTGTGGTTTATGTCAGATGTCTTTTGGTATTGTATTAATCAACTTTGTGGCCTGATAAAGGTATGGATGGGGCTAGAGGAAAACAAATATAGACAAGTTCATATTAAAGGTGATACTGGCCCTATAAAGTGAACCAGACTAAGAAACAAATGCCCAATCAGTACTACATTTATTGTATCAGCTACAGTTATAGAATCTTACAAGTCTACATGTATTTCCCTCTCCCTCCTTTACTTTCATGTGAATTAGAAGGGTCTTGTCTGAGACATTCTTTCAAGCTACTTTCTGGGCCTGGTGTCAGGCTCCTCTGTTCTTACAGCTGCCTTGGTAATGGTTGTGTAAGGTCCCAGCACTTACTTAAACTTGAGATACCATATCTACATAATCAGATAACCCAAGCAGAGGCTTCTTAGACAGCTCTTTATTTAATCAAATAAGATGGCTGGGTGGCAAACAGTCTGGAACGCTGGCAGAGTTAAGTCCAGAAGTGCCACACCTTGGAAAGTTAGTAGCATTGCTTTATAAACATTGTTAGCCAATGAAAATCAAACAATAGAGCCATTACATCATCAAGAAGACATCAATCATTCCTGTACACTCACTTATTCCCTCCTTCAGCATACCCCATCCATGTACTTGTTTTTCATGCTAGCATGAGATTTCCCTGGTGCAAAATCTGATTAGAGAAAGCAAGAAAGCAACAGTTAGACTAAACAATTTCCCTTTATTCCAGTTACAGAACCCTTCAGCTGGTAATGCTTGTTAATGTAAATACTGTTTACACTAAAGACACAAGATGAAGGGATCTTTTTGACTCAATTCAAATTGTATGAAACAGATGATATACGTATTTTTTTTTCTTTAGGGAAGGTAGATGGAATTATTAGCAAATAATATTTTTCATATTCACCTGTAGAAAGATGAGACTTTTGAATGTAAGAAAAATATATTATAAAATGGTGACATCATCCTGGTTAGTAAGAGGAGAAGGGTAGATCTTATGTCCTTCTGATAAGGAGGCATTGTATTATTTTCTCTGTTCTTCTAGCTCTGGGAGTTGATATTGTCTTCTGGATATTCGTAGAAGTGCAATCCAATCTAGATCTGCAATATCTGGGGGGAAACAGGTACAAATAGTCTCCCTGATATGATTGGCTAATGGTTAATTATATTTGGCTAAAGATTGTTAAATTCCAGAGTCATTTAAGGAAAGTATTGGATATCTGCAAAATTATATTCCTATAACTATTGATATAATAAATGCAAAATAGATATGTCTGATATCAGTTGTAATTTATATAGTTATTGAATTTCTACACTGTCCATTTCAACTGAATCTCTCTGGGTGATTTACATTTAAAATACAGTGTTAAGCCCTGGAAGAATAAGAAAAAGGTTTGCATTGCCAATAATTTTTCATAAATATCATTTCTAATAGTTTTGTTCTTATCTACTTATCAACCTTGGAATGCAAGGTTGATTTTTACTTCTGAAGAATTGGAAGCACTGCCTGAAGAGCTGAACTATTACTTGATTAGTTGTTGTTATTATTGCAATGCAAAGTTCACAAAGCCGTTATGAAAACCTTTCTTATCTGTTACAGTCATATTATTGCAGTAATATTTTCTCCTCCCAGGAGCAAAACAATCAATTGTAAATTGTTGAGCTGAATTTTAGTGGTTGGGACATTGCCTGAAGAGCTATGAATTGCTGGCTGCTCCTGGTTGTTGCCTTTCTTCTCTGGCCAGGCTGTTTTTCTCAAAATGGTAAGTTAAGAAGAAGCAAAATCAAGGGGTTACTAAGGAAATCATCAACTGTTTCTTCTGCATTGATTAAAGAAATAGTTACTTTTAGCAAAGAATTCCATTTTTCATCTGTGGCTTTCTGGAACTTTGTAATGGCAGATACTTTAAGAATATCATAGTCCAACCCCCTGATCAAGCAGCAGATTCTATATCATTTCAGACAAATGGTTGTCTAGCTCTTCTTAAAAGCCTCCAGTGATGAAGCACCCACAACTTCTGAAGGTAAGCTGTTCCACTGATTGATTGTTTTCGATGTTAGGAAGTTTCTTCTTATTTTTAGATTGCTACTCTCCTTGATTAGCTTCCATCTTTTGTTTCTTGTCTTGCCTTCTGGTGCTTTGGAACATAGGTTGATCCCCTCTTCTTTGTGGCAGCCTATCAAATATTGGAATACTACTAACGTGTCCTTCTCTTCTTTAGACTAGCCATACCCAATTCCTGCAACCGTTCTTCATATGTTTCAGTCTCCAGGCCCTTAATCACTGAATTATCTCCAGGGCCTTTCATTGAAATATTTGTGTTTAATGATTTATTTTTCTTATAAACAAAAAGGATCCCCCTAAGTTGAAATGAATACGTGTAAAATGGAATATAATTATTGAATATATGTCCACATCATATAACACTCAGATGCTGATATTCTAAAAATGAGACATTACAGATGAATAGGACTTTTCCTGGCAATAAATCCTAATGAAGCTTTCAGACTTAGTTTTTTTTCCTGTGCATATGTAGAAGAACATGTTGTTGATGCTATAGCTATCTATGATTTCCTCAAATCCACAAGAGAGTGTTAACTAGAATAGATTCTTTTTCTCTATACTTCCGTATAGATGAGGTGATTTTATTATGCCTCTATTAAAGCTTCGGTCTCCCATTACAACATATAATGTCTGTGGCTTCTGTAACCCTTTATGCAAAGGAGATGTTTTAACATGTTATGCATAAGTCAGAAGTTTGAAATTTTAAAGATGTATCTCAGTTATGTTTACCTCAGAATAAATGCAAAAGCAATTAGTAGATATCTAAATTCATGGTGAGAATATCCTTTAGGAGAATACACCGAGGATACTTTACAAAGATGCAGAAGCTAAGACTGCATTTGCTTATATTCACACTAATTGAACCTTTGAGCCAGTCATTTATTTTTATGACTGCCTGGGAGTTGATAGTGCTGGGCTTTGTTGTTTGCCCACTTTAATTAATTGGTTTATGTTTAATAAACTAGCTTACTTCATATCCCTAGAGTTGTTTAGGTTAGGCATTAGCAAGGGAAGGTTACATATTGCAGGTAGTCCTGGAACTATGACCCACTTGGACTCTGCTCGTCATAATCATAACTTGTTATGGGCATAAAGTGGATTGGTCACATGATCGATTAGATTTTCACAGCCATTTTTGGGGTGGCCATTAAGTAAACACCATGTAAGATAAGCAAATCCATAGCTGTTAAGTGATCCAATAGTTCACTGTTGATGCACTTTTGCTGGAAATTAGAAGTCCATGCTGGTTTTCAGCAAAACTGTCAGAAAACAAGATCATGTGAACCTGTGCAGCTCAACTGCACAGCACCAAAGTTCCTGGGAATTTCAAACAATCACTAAATTGTGGACTACCTGTATTGAGGATTAAGTGTCCAGCAGTATTAGTTTCAAGTTAAGACAAAAGTGGGAAATAATGATCTAACTTGGGTTAGAACAGGAAGTTTGCTACCACACAGTTCATGACATATTTTTGAGAATAAATAGGAAAAGTAAACTTGTCTAAGCAAGTAAGATAATTTAATATAAATATAATTTCAGCATGTGAAGAACCAGATGAGATTGACTTTGGGGAAATTGTAAGTACTGAGAAAGCCAAATACCTGGAAAATGACCGAGTGCAATACAGGTGCAACCCTGGTTATGTCTTGGAAGGACCTGAATGGATTCAGTGTAAGGGACAAGAATGGACACCTCATCCACCAAAATGCTTGGGTAAGCCATCATGCTTTCTTTGACTAATGCAGACCTGGAAGAAAAATGTAGAATTGTACCTGCTAATTTTTTTTAAGAATTAGCTTGAATTTGAATCCAATTTTTTCTTCTGTACTGAAGCCACTGACTGTCAGCTTCTTTCATTAGAAATCTAGAAAAATTAAACTGATTCAAATTGTTGAATTAGCAAGCAAATCAGTGAATATAGTTAAGGATGCTCAATTGGAAGCTTATATTCACTTGCTGTATATAGAATGCTAAGTAACTGTGGGATCTGGTTACATCTAGATCCAAATTCAATGATCATAAAGTAGAAAAGTGACTTCTGTTGCTATAGAGTCAACATTTTTGGTCAGGACTCAGATTTTTTTTTTCTGACTGTTGTCTTGCTATTAATGACTATTTCTCCAGTTTCCCAAGGCTGCTCCTCTGCACATTACAGACATCAGGATGGAATTAATCCAACCAAGGTCTTTATAATATTTATTGGATAGCTCAGAAAATATTTTAAAATGCTATAGCAATAGCAATAGCACTTATACACTGCTTCATAGCTTTATAGCCCTCTCTAAGCAGTATACAGAGTCAGCATATTGCCCCCCAAAATCAGGGTTCTCATTTTACCGACCTCAGAAGGATGGAAGGCTGAGTCAACCTTGAGCTGGTCAAATCCATAATGCTGGAAGAGTTAAACTCATATGATACAGGATTGCCCCATTATTAACAATAATAAGGTCATTAAAATGAGTAATAAGGACAAAATAAGAAAACCAATGAAACCAGGATGATTCTTCTATGCTTAGAAATGTTGAGAAATTTTGCATTATACTTCAGCAGAATATGGAGCACTCTAGCTGTCTCAAAATTTGTTCCATTACTAGTCAGTCAACTCAAAATGTCTTTGCAAAAGACATTTGCTGGGCTATTTGTTCTTAGCTTGAAACAAACACCACCATCCTACAAGCCAGTCCACTGTGATAGGTCTAAAGCTATAGCAGGATCATAACTTAAGTATTAATATTATTCTATAACTTAGCTTATTTGATTTTGGCCTGGAACTATCCATTGTGATTTGTATACTGGGCTGATTTTCTTGGGGGTGGAATAAACAATAGCAACAGTATTTAGATTTATATACCATTTCATAGTGCTTTACAGTCCTCTCTAAGAATTTACAGAGTCCGCATATTGCCCCCAACAATCTGGGTTCTCATTTTACCGACCTCAGAAGGATGAAAGGCTGGGTCAACCTTGAGCCAGTGAGGATCGAATTCCTGGCAGTGAATTAGCCTGCAATACTGCATTCTAACCACTGTGCTATTATGCAATAGAGCAGTGGTTCTCAACCTTCCTAATGCCGCGACCCTTTAATACAGTTCCTCATGTTGTGGTTACCCCCAACCCCCCATCCAGCTGGCCGGGAGTGTATCAAAAACTTGATCAAAAAAAGGGGAAAAAATGGGAAAATATATGTAGTCCTCGACTTACAACCATTCGCTAAGTGACTGTTTGAAGTTACAACAGCACTGAAAAAGCGAATTATGATCATTTTTCACATTTATGATTGTTGCAACATCCCCAGGATCATGTGATTTACATTCGGATGCTTGACAACTGATTCATACTTATGACGTTCACAGCGTCCCAGGATCACGTGATCAATGGCCAGGGAGCGTGGCCAGCTGATCACTCAGGTTGCAGAGTGCCTTGGGGGTGAATCTGTGGGTCTCTGGGATGGGACTGGGGTGGGTGCCTGCCTTCCTTCCCTCCCTCCCTTCTCTCCCCTTGTCCCTTCCTTCACCTCCCTCTTAGTCTTTTCCTCCTTCCCTCCCTCTCCCATTGTCCCTTCCTTCCTTCTTTGCTTCCTTTCCTTCACCTCCTTCTTAGTCTCTTCCCCCTTCCCTCCCTCTCTCCCATTGTCCCTTCCTTCCTTCCTTCCCTCTTTGTCCCTTCCCTCCATCCCTTCCATTGTTCCTTCCTTCCTTCCCTCTCTCATTGTCCCTTACTTCCCTCCCTCTTCATCCCTTTCTTCCTCTCCCCCTCCGTGCCAAGGAAGGGACAAGGGGAGGGGGACAGGCTGCCAGCATGGCTGGTGGATTTGCTGCCGGTGGCTATGGCAACATGCCAAACCAGACTGTACACAGGCAGAGGCAGAGGAGAGCTCTGTCCAGCTCACTTGCTCAGCTTCACCAGGCTACAGCGGATTCGCTACAGCTGAGTCCCTGGGGAGGGCGGGGTCTTGCTCTGCACCTGCACTCTTCATGCACCCCCTGCAGGGCACATTTGGTAGAGTTCATGCAGACTGCCACCAAGCAGCATATTTTCCACAAACAAGTGAGGTGGAGTGGAGGGGGAGAGGGAGAGAAGGCGGTTGACAAGCCCTGCCTAAGACCATTGGAAATATGTGTTTTCCAATGGTCTTAGGCGACCCCTGTGAAAGGCTCGTGCGACCCCCAAAAGGGTTGTGACCCACAGGTTGAGAACCGCTGGAATAGAGGGAAAACAATGGAAAAATTACTTCCCTTTAGAAAATCTACCTTATTTTCTGTTTTTTAGCACCATGCCGTATCACAAGACAACAGCTAGCAACAAAAAACTTGTTTGTGTTTGGAGGCCAAAGAAAAACTCAGTTTATTCAAAGTAAACATAGTCTGCAATTTCTGTGCAGGGAAGGATATGTCCTTGTTACTCCATCAGTCAGAAAGTGTGTTGACGGTTACATGGATTTGCCATTATGTATCTCTGGTAAGCATGTGCAAATATGATGGATTTCTTTGAGATTAGAACTAATTAGAGAAATTAATATAACATAATAAATATAAAGATTTGCTTCTAAATCATATTATTTCAAAAATGATTTAATTTTCACTGAAATCACATCTTGGCTTAGAAGTTTAGTAGCTGTAATCTAAAACACAAAATCTTAAGCATATCTGCAATTAAGGATATGTCTTTGTGGCTCCATCAGACAGAAAGTATGTTGACGGTTACATGGAGTTTCTTTATGTATCTCTGGTAAGCATGCTATCAAAATCATGGATTCCTTTGAGATTATTGGATAATCTCTAATGAGATTAGAACTAATTAAAGTAATCTCTACAACATAATAAATATGAACATTTACCTCTGAAGTCACATTCTTTTAAAAGTGATGTAATCTTCACTGAAATCACTCACATCTTAGAATTTTAGTAGCTGTAATCTAAAACAAAAATTCTTAAGCACATTTGCATGGAGAAGAATATTTTGGCATTTTCTCAAAGATATGAATTGTCATTAAGGTTCAATCCAGGGGCAGTTGGCAGTAGAGTAATCCAGCAGAGATATAAAACTATTTTCATTTGGAAACCAGTCACCCTCTCCTCTGCCTCAGGAAGAACAAAGCCCTCTGACTAAAGAAGTAAAAGAATTGAAACAAAGACTAAGCATCTTTGTCTGAGCATCTAGAACAGCACAAAAACTTCAGAATAGGGTTGCCTGCATTGAAGCTTATTCCAAAGGAACATCTAGCACAAGCATTAAAAGATGCAAATGCTGTAATATCAAGTATAAGCACCAACTCACTGCAATAAAAAATGTTGTAATGTAAACAGCACAGCTGCAGTTATAACTGAATACCTGGGATGCAAAATCAATAAAGAAGAAAAAAAGTGGAAGATTAGACTGAAAAATAAGATCAGCAAGCTGACATCAGGCGCAAGCAAGCTAGAACAGATGAAAGAACAAGAAAACCAAAGAATACCTAATCAACCAATACCACTTAGGAACAAGGAAGATCAAGGAAGCACTGGAAATAATAGCACAGCAAAGAGCAGCTCTAGCCAAGAATATCAGCAGATACAAAGCTCAAATTGCAAATTATAGGCAGAACCTCCAATTTCAATCCTTTAGAAACGTCTCTACCAATCCATCAATGGAGAAAGTGCAGTAAATCAGTCAGTACCTGACAAAGAAAAAACGGTGCAGTTCTGAGAGCAGATATGGGATAACCCAAAGAAATACAATAAGGATGCAGCTTGGTTAAAAAAGGTGAATAAGAAAAATAAAAAACTTGAAATGAAAGAACTAGTTATAACAGCAGAAATGGTAGAGAAAAGAGCAAGGAAGATCAAGAATTGGTCAGCACCAGGTGAAGATGAACTGCATGGTTTTGGGTTGAAACATCTAACTCGTCTATACCCACTCATTGCCAAGAAGTTTAAAAACATACTACAAGGAGGAGATGAGATTGAAGAGTGGCTAATATCTGAGAAAACCTACCTCAGTGGTTCTCAACCTGTGGGTCGGGACCCCATTTGGGGTCAAACGACCATTTCACGGGGGTCGCCAAACAATGCAGTCCGCCATTTTTTTCCCCTTTTCCTTAGCTGTGCTACTCCCTTTTATTCTATTGGCTTTTGAAAGCCAATAAAATAGACTCTCTTGAACAGAGTCTAATTCTATTGGCTTTCAAAAGCCAATAGGAATTGTCCAGGCTGTCTCTCCCCTGCTGAGCCCGCCAAAAGTCCCATTCTGCAAATGGTGCTGCACCAGTTGAGTAGTCCTCGACTTACGACAGGTTGAGTAGTCCTCGACTTACGACCGGTTGGGGGTCACGGCATTAAAAAGGTTGAGAACGACTGACCTACCTGATACAACCTACCTGAACAAAAGCTTCAATCAACACATTGTAAACTGCATGTTTGGAACTTGGTGAGAATATTGATCTTTTCTTTACTATTTTACAACTGCATTTCCTGGGAAAGGCTCCCAAGAATCTAAAAATCTCCATATGTGAACGGAAGTGGCGTTTTAATTTTTGGGGGTGTCGGGGGACAGAAATATACAATACTGAAGTGAAAGTAATATAAAGATACAGTTTGGATAAATTTGAGATTTGAGATAATTGTAAGATTTTTCTTTGAAAGAAAAAAACATTGAGATGAAATATAAGAAATATAAGAAATCAACCCTTTGTTTTAAGAGTGGAAAATGGATTTTGAGTGACATCTAGTAGTGGATTTGAGTACAGCACTATAACTAGACTCTTGGCTGCTTGGTGACTTTTAACTTAAGGAAGGACAACTGGCAATAAAGGAAAATATTTTGGCATACTTATCATCCTGATCTTGGACTATAAATACCTACTGAGCTTGGACTTTCAATCTTAGGAGTTAGTGGGAGAAAAAGAGAAATTTGACTTTTGAATACCTCTGGCTGGGAGAGATTTTTGAACTGTTTTCAGGGAGGTTGAATATTTTGAACTTTAACATTGTGGATTACAATCCTGTCTGGTTGACAATTTTCAGGATACTTGATTACTATAAAATATTGCCATTACTATTGGATTATAAGGCTACATATAAAGACCAGAAAATGAGAGGAAACTTTGCTCCACTCTTTCTGAGACTTGTAATACTAGAGTATTTCTAGGAATGATGCCTCAAGAAAAAATCTCTCAGAAGGAAATATATTCTATGCCACAGCTAATTCATCAAATAATTCTTGCACACAAAGAGGACACAAAAAGAAACCATAATGAGACCAAAAATAACTTAGATAATATAAAAGACCAAATCTCTAAATTGAAGCTACAACTGGAAAGATCCCAGATGACTACAAAGTATAAACAAATAAACCAGAAATCAGGGGATGAAGCAGAAGAAAAGGACCAAGAGATGGAGGAGGTAGGAGAAAGGAAATATGGGCTGCCATACATGTATGTTGCTGTTTTTTCTGTGTATATTTTAAAAATACAATAAACACATGCAAATTGAATGAATGCTCATTAAAACAGATTTATTGGCATCTTTTGTAATCAGTCAAGAAATGTTGATGAGTAATCTCAAAGCTTTAGTTTGGAGTATGACCAAAGTCTTTATTCTTCATGATTTCATGTTTAATAGAAAGAGGTGGAAACTGCAGTGGTCCACCAAGGACTGAGAACGGAGACATTACTACTTTATCTGAAAAGCAGTACAGGTCTGGCTCTTCAGTAGAATTCAGATGCCAAAGGTATTATGCCATGGAAGGCCAGAACAGATCTTTCTGTGACAATGGAGCCTGGATAGAAGTGCCCATTTGCCTTGGTAAGCAGAAAAGAAAATCTTCATTTAATTTTCACGAGCATTTTCAATCTGCTTTCTTTATTTCTCACATGAAAATGATTTAATTGGTCTTGCCTTTATATGTGGTTTCAGCTCTACATCTGAGGTGAACTGGCTAGTAGATGAAAGCTAAGCTCTATTGTTAATCTTTGTAACAAGGTAATATGATATGCCTTCTCTAACAGATTTATTTTCTTTTTCATCTGAGATCCCTGTATGATTCCCAAGACTAAACTGGAAAGCCAGAAGATAGAAGTTAAAGACGGAAAGGATGCATCTGAAAATATATTTGTGCAACGTGGTCATTCTATAGAGTTGATCTGTAAAACAGGATATATTCTTGCAGCAGATTCTTCCCAATCAGCTTCTATAATCCATTGTGATGGGACAACCCCCGTGATTCCTAATTGCAAAGGTGATTCAAAAAATTTAGTTTTACAAACTGTGGCTAAGTTAGTCCAAAACAGCACATTCTTCCTTGAGAATATTTCCAAAAAGATTGCTCGTTCATCAAAGCAGGATAATATATCTGCATGGCAACACTGTTTTTATCATTGGATGGTACAGTAGTTTCTTTTGCCAAAAACAAACCTCACAGCTGAGTTACTACATATATATATTTAAAGAATTAATAAACTATTACCATACCAAAATCCATATAACAGTAACAATAGAAATTCCAACTCAGTTACTAACAAGAATAGAGGAACTTTTTTAGTTAGTACTAGATCTTGGAACTAATAGATAAGTGGATGCCTAATGAAGGACATTTCACAATTCTAGCAATTTTACATCTCCAGAAGCAATAGTTTCTATATAGGCATAGGAAAGATTTCATGGAGATGTTTGCTTGTGGATTCAGGGCATTTCTCTATCATGTTGCTCCTTGTGGATTCAATGCAGCTTACAGATATAAAAATAGGAACCAAAGAATAAAAAGGCACACTTATATACACCTCCCTGTAGCTCTTTAGTCATCTGTAGGTGAGGAGACAGTCTACAACCTTCATGTTAGGGCAGCTGATCCCAGAGGAAGGGAGCTTCAAGGAGAAGACATGATATCATTCATTACCAAAATGATAGTTGGAGATCCTTAATGAATAATGTCTTGCCATCCAAGCTGGACAAGCAGTGGTTATTTGGAAAAATTGGTGTCACAGATACTTGATTTTTGAATCATATCCAGCTTTAAAAATAGTGAGCAGTTCCTTGTATCTTATTCAGAGGAACACTTCTACAGCAGTGCTGAGATGTTACGGAACCAAGATTACACAGCAAACATGCAGTGTATTGAATTCTAGATCAGCTGACATCTCTAGGATACCCCCCCAGGGCAATCCCAGTAAGAGCGAATTGATTAATTACATGTTGTGAAGGTGATTGCCACTGTCATCTAGATTAATTTTCTCCAGGATAATCTATCCCAGGTTTGGTCCTTTAGATCTTGCAACAAAGCATTTACCGGCATTGTAACTGAGCCCACCTATAACACCAGGTAAGAGCAGAATTACTGCAACGTTGAGCCCCTAATGTGTAATTTGCAATCCTTTCAGGTGACTGAAAATGTTACTGGGACTGCCAGTAGGACTGAATAGCAGATATGGGAGTAAAGTTGTAAAGTTGTAGCTTTACATTTGTAAAGTTGTAGCTTTACATTTGTAAAGTTGTAGCTTTACATTTGTAAAGTTGTAGCTTTACATTTCAATTCAACACTGACAGTTAGAACAATTAACCAGTGGGACAACCTGCCTTCAGAAGCAGTGAATGCTCCAACACTGGAAGGTTTTAAGAAGAGACTGGACAGCCATTTGTCTGAAATGATATAGGGTTTCCTGCCTGAACAGGGAGTTGGACTAGATGACCTCCAAGGTCCCTTCCAACTATTATTATTATTGTTGTTGTTGTTGTTAACATGCAGGAGTAGAATAATATCTATTTAATAGATATTTTAATATCTATTAAACATATCAACTTGTCAAATTTATTTATGATTTTTTCAAATAAACACAAGAGTATTAAAATACTTTTAATTGGGATGGCTAATTTCACAGTGTTATTTTATACACCAACAAGATGTTTTAAATTAGTCAATGCTTATCAGTAGGCATGGCTGCTGATTAAAAAGGACTGATGATGCTCTCTCTCTATATATATAAAATAATGGTATTGTTTTCGGTGATGATATAAAGGAATGCCCATCCTCTGATACAAGTGCAACTTTCCTTTTTTAAATATAAGATATGATTTATTTTCTCTAGAAATTACATGTAACTCTCCAAGAATATTGAATGGCTTTTTCCGATCTCAAAGAACTATATTCCTTTATGGGGATGTAATTCGAATTCAGTGTAACAGTGGATTTACCTTTGAACCAAATAATGGAGGACAGGTGATTGAATGCACAAAAAATGGATGGTTACCTCCACTAAAATGTGTCTGTAAGTAGAAATTGCATACATTAGTCTGATTAGGGGCAATATATTTAACTTTGCATAAGTGAAAGAGCCGAGGTGGTGCAGCAGTTAGAGTACAGTACTGCAGGCCACTTTAGCTGACTGTGTTCAGCAGGTCAGCGGTTCAAATCTCACCGGCTCAAGGTTGACTCAGCCTTCCATCCTTCCGGGGTAGGTAAAATGAGGACCCAGATTGTTGGGGGCAATGTAAATATATATATACATTGCTTACTGGTGTACACCGCTTAGAGAGTGCTTGCACTTAAAGCGGTATATAAGTCTCATAAATAAATAAATAAGTGTACTTTTTCACATTATTTTACATGATTCCTTCCTTCCTTCCTTCCTTCTTTCCTTCCTTCCTTCCTTCCTTCCTTCCTTCCTTCCTTCCTTCCTTCCTTCCCTTCCTTCCTTCTTTTTGCCAAAGGGAAAAATCTCACCCAGCATATTTTAGCAGACTTTACAGATGTCTAAAGTTCTTATTTAGTTGCAACAGGATACAGGTCAGACATTAAAGGAAGATATTCTATCAGAACAGAATAAACAAGATTGTACAACGGCATTCTCATTCAACTCTAAATACATATGAAATATGTACAAGAAATGGATTTCAACAAAGTGTGGAACATCTGCTTGTCAAACAAACAGAAAGGAATAACCAAAGTTATAGACAAATTCTCTGGTAGATAGATACACATATCTTACAGTGGAAAAATAACAGACAGTATTACTTTCTGTTAGCAAATGAATAGGCCTATTGAAAACATAGATACAAATTATAGTTGGCGAACCTAATGTTTTCTAAATTTTGAACTAAAGAAACAGAAGATCTAAAAGTTGCTAACAGCTGGAAATGTTAAATTTTACAGTATGAAATGAATAGCTTTAGATACTGAAATGAAAAGATAGAGAGTAATTTATTACTTCTGCCTTCTTCCAGACATGAAAGAAAAACTCACTTCCTGATTTATGTACAAATATTTATTTATTTATTTATTTATTTATTTATTTATTTATGGATTTGTTTATTTGTTTATTATGTTTATATAGCTGCCCATTGTGTACCAAGCACTGGGTGGCTCACAACCAAAATATAAAGTTACATCTATCAACAATGAAAAATATTAAACCCCAAAATCTAGCATCCTAATCAAAGTTAAGTCACCTTAGTCTATAATTTTAATCCAAATGTGCCTAAGAAAGTAAGGTTTTAAGTGAACCCAATGTCCTTAGAAGTTTCATTGTATTACATTGGTTCTTCTTTTTCCTCTGGGACAGTTCTAATCAGTGTTGATGCTTGCAGCCTGCTTCATTGCTCAGCACCCTCCCCACTTCTCTTTAATATTAACATGAAGACACTGGGTGAGGTTGAAAGCATTTCACTTTATTATGAAAATAATAGATCGCATTAAGATTGATTATTGTCCTTTCCCAGTGAGTGTGATAAAAGAGCTATTTATTCAATCTGATCCTACCTGAATCCTATTTAGGATGAAAAATGAGATTAGAATTACAGAATGTCTTCTCTAATCATTTATATTTGTTTTCAAGCATTTCTTTTTCTTATTATTCCATTGATTACAGAAACAATGAAAAAATATTTGTGTTTTATAGTAGAAATGACTTGCCAGATAGATCATATTGAACATGGAACCATATTATCTCCAAAGTCCATTTATAAGGAAGGGGAGAGAATACAATTCTCATGTAATAAAGGATACAGATACGTTGGCAGACCAGATGCCTTATGTACTAAGAAAGGATGGAGTTCAAAACCTCAATGTACACGTATGTATATGTTTCTAATGGTCATGGTTACTCTGAAATCTTATGCGCATTGGGTGCATAGGATTGCAGCTCCAATCTGATAATTTATTTCTAGGTACTTAATTATCCAATCATATGGCTGGTAGTTGAATGCCTTCTTATAATTAGCCAAATTTATGTTCAAGTAGGACTTCCTTTTGTTTTCCATAATCATCTTATCAGTTAGGAGCTGATCTTTTGTTCCTCTGCTGTTTGGGAAGTTTCCTTTTTGCTCAGTCAGAAAAAACTTGTTTTCAGCTAGATACTATTGGACTGCTTCAGCTACTAATACATACACAATAATGTGAAATCACAGCTGCCAGTTTGTTACCGTTTGCCTTCATTTGTATCAAGTTCTTCCCAAGAACTTAAGCTGTCATAATGTATCAGGATTGCATATGTGTGGATCCAAGTAGTATAGCTTTTTAGATGATGGATGGAAATTTAATTGATGCACAGATGTTTAAATGCCATCCTTCCAAGATTTTGGAGAATTGCACCCAATGTACTGATAACCACTGGGACCACCATGGTAGGATTATGCCATAATATAAGTCAGCTGGATGACTTTGGGGCAATCAGTCTAGCTCAACTCAATCTACCTCATATGTTTGTTTTATTGTTAAAATAGGAGGATGAAGGATTATATATTTTTGCCACTTTATTAGGATAACAATCTAATAAATAATCTTTCTACTTTGATTTTCAGATCTTGTTATTTTGTGATCTTTTCCAATTCTTCTTTTCTCTTCTATTATCCCCTGGTATTGCCACATCAACACTTTTTTATTTTCAACCACGGTTACACCTGGTGTGTTATGAACCAAAACTGTATTAGGCAATCATGCAATATTTTAACCTATTAATTTTCACCTACTTTTCAATTCTATGTTCCCACCAATTTTTTGTTACTGGAACCTGATAATTGTGACAGATATTTTGGTAATCATTTTGGCGACTGTGCTATTTTGTTGTTTATAATCAGTCTGTGTGATTTTCTGCATGAGCTGAGTAAATTATCTACTGTTCCTTCCTTCTCAAAGTACAGTAATCTGTATTTTGAATCATTTGATGATTTTTCAGTTCTAGCCTTGATAGGATTAATTCGAATATCTTGGTCTTCAGCAGCCAAAATCAAAGTTTTGGTTTCTTTTTTTAAAAAATGTTTCAGTTGTAGCCATTGCTAGTTTTTATCTTTATTCACTTTGCCCTCAAACCACTGTAGAAATTGACCATGTAGTGCATTTCCTTTACAGGATTTTGATCTTTTTTATTATATTATTATAATATTCATTTTCTTTGTTTCCAGCACATTCAGTAAGTTCCAGTTTTTAATTTGTAACAATGCTTGTTCTTTGCTGTCTTTTATTAATCAACTAATGTACGCTTTATTATTGTTATTGTTGCTGTTGTTGTTTTAGATGATGGTAAGTAAGTACTAAATTATTTAAATGCAATATTTGGGGGACAGTAAATAACCTCAAACATTATAAAGAGGTTGAAATATACAAGGTATCAGCTTTCCTCTACCAGATATCCTTTAAGTTTGATACACCCCAATCTTTTTACATTGAGGCAATTGCTTGATATCTAGTGCTACAATCACCAATCCGGTGATATTGTTCTCTGGTGTTCTCCCCATATACCTACAGAGAAAGATTCCCTTGACAAAGAGATATGCAGGAACTGTTGCCTAGGAAAAAAGGGCTGAAGCATTTTTAAGTTCAGAAAAGCAAGATAACATTTGGAAGGGTCTCATGACTTCTTGACAATTTACTGAATGAAGTAGGAGGAATATAGCACAATCAGATGCGTAATGTAATATTATTATTATGGATCATCACACAGTCAGCCAGATGTTCAGACTGGATTTGGCATTTTGTCTACCTATCGAGTCCTTACCCAGGACCTGGGATAGGCAGATGTGGATGTGTGATGGTATTACAGGTATTGTCGCAGGATGGAAGCAGTTCCTAGTAAGGCCGCCTTTTGCAATTGACTAATAGCGAATTTGTCAATGCCAATAGTGTTCAAGTGGTGCTCCAGTTGTTTTGGGATTGCACCCAAACAGCCTATTACTATTGGTACTACCCTTGCTTGCTTTTGCCACAGTCTTTCTATTTCTATTTGTAGGTCTTTGTATTTTGTTATCTTCTCCAGTTCTTTCTCGTCTATTCTGCTGTCTCCAGGCACTGCCACATCCACTATCCAGACTATTATTATTATTATTATTATTATTATTATTATTATTATTATTATTATTATTATTATTATCATCATCATCATCATCATCATCATCATCACAAATTTCAGTGATGGTAATCTTAAGCTTCCTTAGCCCATCCATCTGGTGAAGCTGATAGAACTGAAACAGAAAAGGTCCTACAAAGTTTTTTCTTTGCAAATTGAAAAAAACATCATAAACAAAACATTCAATAGGTCCACTTCAAGGTTTATAGCATAATGATCTCTCCTCATTTTGCAATGCATCAGTCTCATAGGCAGTGACTTATTGACCACGTATTCATATTCCTCTGTAGAAATTCGGTGTTCCCCTCCAGAAGTGAGGAATGGCTTCTTTCAACCTAGACGATCTCAATATTTGTATAATGATGCAGTCAAGATACATTGTATTTTTCAACTTTCCCCAATAAAGATTTTAAAATGCACTGCTAATGGTTGGAACCCCTCTCTTCGCTGTTAAGGTAAGCAGCTTTTTTTTTTTTTTTTAGTTTCCTCGTTTTGAGTTTCTTTCCAAAGCAGAAATTGCTTTATTGTTTATGAATGATAAATTGGTTTATTGACAATGATTGATGATGAAATAACAGTGGTGGCAGTAGACTAGTTTATTATACCTAGCAGCAGTGCTTCTAATTCACTCTGTTTGTTACTCAAACTTTGAGCTTTTGTATATAAGCATTTGAGACCTTTATGTCTCTCCTTGGGTGTGTTTCATACATCTCCTACTTGATGTTGAGATTTTCATTTTCCTTATCACTCATTACCTCATTGTTTTGTTGAGGTTTATGGTTGATTTTATATTCTAATGATCCTAAAAATTGGTCACACACACTCTCCCCATCAGTTTTAGTTTAAAGCCCTTTTGATGAGTTGAGCCAGTTGCTTTCTAAGTACTTTTTTCCCTGTTTTTGTGAGGTGCATAAAAAAAAATGGCAGTATACTTAACACTAGTAATGATAACATTTCTATAATTTTTCTTCTTAAAATATCCTGAAGCCATTTATAATAATCATAACATCACAAAAAGCATAAAAAGCAAGGAAAAAATCTAGTAAAAGCAAATTAAATAGCAATAATGTTATTATTATGATCCTACTATATAGAAGGCTTACTCCATGCTGTGGCTAACCATAATCCATAAGCCACAGCAGAGGGAGTACCTCTCTGAAGAAGATGATGTAATCAGAGTGATTCTTTAAAGAAGCCATATCCTTTCCCAATCAGAAAGAAATCCAGTGCTACAAAAGCGAGTTTACAATTTTTATTGTTTATTTTCTGAACTAAAAGCTTAACACATAACACATTTACGCAAGAACACATACTTGTCTGACTCAGGATCTGAAGCTGAGATACTGGCAGAAGCATTTAGACATGTGCTAGGGAAACAGTGGGTATATTGAACTTTGACACACAAACTTTTGGACTTGCCTAAAAGTAGTTGATCTTCCTATGTCTTCCTCAGCTACATAAGTCAGAAATTTCTTGGAAGTTTGTTTCCCAACAGATGTCAAGATAACTGAAATCTCCTATTCATCCTGCAATATCTGGAAGCAACTTAGTGGCAGAAACGTAAGATTGAGAGTAATGTGGGAGAAGAGGGAAAGGTGAGAGTGTCCAAGGGTAAAGCGGGCATGGCAGGTCACACAAGACTTGAATTTTTTTCTTCCTAGACAGTAATTTTAAAGAAATATTTCAGTCACCATAGACAAACAGGAAGTCTTTGCTAATAGTTATTGTAATCATTTAAAACCAAAAATATGTTTGTTTTGTATTTAGTTCATGAACTTGAGTTGAATGTACACAAAGGTTCAACTAATTGGGGAGTAGAGATATGATAAAATATTAGTTCCATGGCTTTGTACAAATCATCTGACACTTGGTTTGTTTTTTACTATAAGCCCCATGTGACAGGAAAAACGGTAAACCTGTCTATCAGTGGTCTGTAAGACTGGTAAATTTCCACCACCATATAACCAATTTGACAAATCTCTGGCAGGAAGAAACCCCTGGCCATTTTCCAGCCCAGCAATCTACCAACTACCAATTGTTCTACATTGCAACAATGGTTTCTTAATTTTAGTCTATTCTATGTCCTGGGTAGTTTTATAACTTGAAGGAGAAATGCTCAGATCTCTGGTGAATTTCATCCCAGCTTGCAAGAAATCCTGGCAGAAAACGTCAATTGTATTTTGAAGTATGCTGTGGAGTGTACAAAATGACATTAGAGTAGAAAAAATAGGGTACTGTATTTATATAGGATATTTCTCTATAAGATAATGAGCAGGAACAGAGAGGTAAAAATAACTGCCACATTACCTGCTCTGGGTGATTTCACCAGGTGAAATTCTTGCACATTTCTATGCTATGCTGATTCTTGGCCATATAAGAGTTGCTGGTACTGCCTGTGAAGCTGTGGGGGTGGATATTTCTACATTAAACAAAGCCTCTACAAAAAAGAAAAAAGAGATCTCCTTTTTAAGCATTAGTATTAAAATGGAGAAACCTCAGATACAACTGAATTGTGCACTTATATTGGAAAAGATTTATGAGGCCACTGCAGAAATTTGTGCTACATTTAAAAACTGTATTTCAGAATTAAGATCTAGAGACTCTACTATATTTACCCAAACTGACGTCCAGGTTACAATTGATTATGGTATAAATCAAAATGTGCCAGAAGAGGAATTTACAGAGAGAAGTGGAATCTATTTCATCTGACAATCCCTTCTTCAGCAACTTAGAGAACCAGAAGAAGCAAAGACTAAGATTTCAAAATACAAAGCAACTACATCGCAAAGAGAACAGAAAAAGACGTTTACTGCAGAGGAAGAGATTTATACTTTCTCAAAGATTACTACAAGTAATAAGAATTGATCTATTGGTTGAAAGAGAAAAAAGATGCTTACTACAGAGATCAAAGATCTCTACAAGCATCGAGAATGGATTTACTGGTTGAAAGGGAAGCGTCTTCATGGAAGCTGGTGTGGCAGAGAAAGAAACCCAGAATTAGATTCAAAAACAAATTTAAAAATGTTTAATGGAGTAAAAGGCAATATTGATTTCATGGGTTTTTTTTAAGAATAATGATTTAGAGCTGAAAAATGCAATTATACACATGCGCGTTTAAATTAGTAAAAATTGTTGAATGGACTAAAAGGTAATGTTGGTTCTATGGATTGTTTTAAGGATAATGATTTAGACTTAGAAGTAGGAAATCTACAATTATATTCATGTGTGTTTAATTTAGTTTGATGATTTTTTTTGTTTTATGGAAGTTTGTTTGATATGGAAATATGAAAGTTAAATGTGGAATGAAAAAAGAAACTTGGCTTTACAGAGACTAAGAATGCATTTCTTGGAGCAATAGATTGATTTAGACTGGAATTTTGAAATGTTTAATTAATTAGGAGATTTTTGTGTATAATAATATGTTTTGATATTGTTATGTCCCGAGCCTTTGCAAACGGCTCGGGCGTTTGCAGGCAGTCCCGGGCAGGTGCAAAGCTGCCCGGGACCAGACAGGCTGTCGCCAGCGCCGTGCGCATGCGCGGGTGCTGGCGCGGGAAAAGTAACCCATTTACCCGGGAGTTGCCTATATAAGAGGCTGCGAGGCGTTTGGGCGAGGCTGAAGCCATCTTCCTGTAAGCTGAACGCTGAATAAAAGAAACTGAGAACTCCAGCTGCTTCTCGTGTCTGTTTTCCCGCCAAGGACGCAACACTGGCGACGAGGATGGGATGCCTTGCACTACCTGGAAAGGAAGAAGTGTAAGCTTACCCAAGGAGTCCTGAGCGGCGGAAGAGGAACGGCGTCGACTCGGCAGCTGCCCGCCAATCCGGTGCGCATTCGGGGGTAGGCTGGCTGATAGACCCGTCTCCTGAAGATCCGAAGATGGCGAAAATCGGAAGGCTTTCGGAATTCGACGTCTCACATCCAGAGCGGTGGGAGTCCTACGTATCCAGAATGGAGAACTACTTCAAGGCAAACCAAGTGAGGGAAGATAGCTTGAAGGCCGCCACCCTGCTTTGCGTTTGCGGCCAAGACGCCTTCGAAATCGCAGAAAATCTTGCAGCACCTGTTCCAGTAGAGTCTGTAAGCTACGCAGACCTGAAGAAGCTGCTGAAAGAGCACTTCCACCCCAAGGTGTCCGTTATCTCATGGCGACACACCTTCGAGCAGAGGGATCAACGGTCCGGTGAAACAGCCAAGGAATACATCGCCGCGCTACGGAAGGCCGCCAAGCCCTGCGAGTTCAAGGACCTCGAGGAACGACTGAGGGACCGATTCGTGTGCGGGCTAAGGCATCGAGAGCTACAACAGAGACTTTTTGCCAAGGAAGAATTATCCTTCCAAGACGCCTTAAGGGAAGTCACCGCAGAAGAAGCAGCAGGCGGCGCCATCAAAAACATGCGGCCGATCAGGAACAATGCAGAGGGTGCGTCCGTGCACCAGGAAGACGTCCGACGAAACTCCGAGGAGGATCCGGACGAGGAAGTCGACCGTCTACACCCCGCGAAGGAAGAGAACCAGAAGGGAAGCTCTTCGGCTCTGCTCAAGTGCATCGGCTGTGGAGGTCGCCACAGGAGAACCGACTGCAAGTTCCGCTCCGCTACCTGCCGGGCATGCGGCAAACAAGGGCATATTGCAGCTGTGTGTCTGAGCCGACGAAAGGCACAACCCCAAGAAGAACGCCTGAAGGTACCAGATTCCCCAGCCAGAATAGGGTAGGTTTTTGCGCTTCGCGAAGAAGCATCTGTAGAACAGGCACACACAAGCCCATGAAGAAAAAGCTGTCACTCAACGTGAAGCTACAAGGGGTTCCATTATCTATGGAACTAGACACAGGGTCTGCCCTGTCCATCATTTCATTGCATACATTTAGGAAGATTTGTTCCAGTAGTGGGTCTAAGGCCAAGTTAAGGCCTTCTGATATTGTATTAACAGATTTTCAGAACTCAAGAGTGTGTGTTAAGGGGGAGGCCACCCTTAACGTGCAATACAAGAGTTTTGAAGGTCCACTAGACTTATTAGTAGTAGGGGGTGAACGAACGAGTCTCATAGGACTCGATTGGTTTGAGGCCCTGGGGATACACGTCACAGGACTCAACAGCTTACAAACACTCGACCTACAGGAAGTCTGCAAAGAATTTGCAGATGTTTTCAGCCCCCAGCTGGGCACATTCAAAGGACCACCTGTGTCCTTAAAGCTAGACCCCACTGTCACTCCCATTAGGATTAAAGCAAGAAGGGTCCCTTTTGCTTTAAAAAGTAAGATTGACACTGAATTAGACAAACTAATCCAACAGGGAATCCTAGAACCTGTTGATTCCAGCCCGTGGGAGACCCCCATTGTCACGCCTCTAAAGGCAAATGGGGACATTCGCATTTGTGCTGATTACAAATGCACACTCAATAAGGCATTGCAGCAACATGCCTATCCTGTTCCTGTGGTCAGTCACATCCTGG